TGGGACTCCGCTTGTGGCATCATCCATCCCGAGACCTCACCCCTCACAGTAACTCTCTGCTTCCTATTGTTTAGGTACTCCCTTATCCATTGGAGCAGCCTACCAGTTACTCTTGCCTGTTTCTCCAGCTTGTGGGGTACTGTGTCAAAGGCTTTCCGACAGTCCAAGAAAATACAGTCTGTCCGCCCTTCTTTCTTGCTTTATCTTTGTCATCTTTATCTGGTGGTAGATTGTTGACCAGACCACACACTAGAAATTGAAGAGACGACGACGTTTCGGTCCGTCCTGGACCATTCTCACAATCGACTTGAGAATGGGCCAGGACGGACCGAAACGTCGTCGTCTCTTCAATTTCTAGTGTGTGGTCTGTTCAACATACTTCAGCCACGTTATTGTGACGCATCGCCTGCTGGTGGTAGAATTCTGTTAGAGCTGTGAGGCGAGATGTGTGCGCGTGCCAGGACAATACATTATTGGCTGTACAAGAATGTAACAACTCTTGTATATATCTAAAAAAAAAAAAAAACATTACGTGCGCGTATTAGATCTATGCGGGAAGGTGTGTGTACATGCGCGAGTGTCATTGTACGCGTGTGCGTACAGAGGCTGGGGCGTGGTGAGGCTGGGGCCGTGGGAGGCTGGGGCCGTGGTGAGGCTGGGGCCGTGGTGAGGCTGGGGCCGTGGTGAGGCTGGGGCCGTGGTGAGGCTGGGGCCGTGGTGAGGCTGGGGCCGTGGTGAGGCTGGGGCGTGGTGAGGCTGGGGCCGTGGTGAGGCTGGGGCCGTGGTGAGGCTGGGGCCGTGGTGAGGCTGGGGCGTGGTGAGGCTGGGGCCGTGGTGAGGCTGGGGCGTGGTGAGGCTGGGGCCGTGGTGAGGCTGGGGCGTGGTGAGGCTGGGGCCGGGGGCTGGGGCGTGGGGCCGTGGTGAGGCCAGGCCGTGGTGAGGCTGGGGCCGTGGTGAGGCTGGGGCCGTGGTGAGGCTGGGGCCGTGGTGAGGCTGGGGCCGTGGTGAGGCTGGGGCCGTGGTGAGGCTGGGGCCGTGGTGAGGCTGGGGCCGTGGTGAGGCTGGGGCCGTGGTGAGGCTGGGGCCGTGGTGAGGCTGGGGCCGTGGTGAGGCTGGGGCCGTGGTCCCCACTCCCCCGTCCCCTCGTCCTCCCCACCATCCCCCACTCCCCTCGTCCTCCCCACCATTCCCCACTCCCCCGTCCCCTCGTCCTCCCCACCATTCTACCGTCCCCTCGTCCTCCGCACCATTCCCCACTCCCCCGTCCCCTCGTCCTCCCCACCATTCTACCGTCCCCTCGTCCTCCCCACCATTCTACCGTCCCCTTGTCCTCCTCACCATTCCCTACTCCCACGTCCCCTCGTCCTCCCCACCATCCCCCACTCCCCCGTCCCCTCGTCTTCCTCACCATCCCCCACTCCCCCGTCCCCTCGTCTTCCTCACCATCCCCCACTCCCCCGTCCCCTCGTCCTCCCCACCATCCCCCACTCCCCCGTCCCCTCGTCCTCCCCACCATCCCCCACTCCCCCATCCCCTCGTCCTCCCCACCATCCCCCACTCCCACGTCCCCTCGTCTTCCTCACTCCCCCGTCCGTTGCATTCCCAAATGATCTGATGCTCCCATCAATGAAAAATAAGAACAACAGTTAAATGAAATGAAAAACAATGAAAAAAGGAAAAAATAAACTGTACTCACAAAGTGAACGGTATGGTAAACAACACAGCTCAATTCCAAATCAGTCACACGAAATAATTAAATCAAAATGAAAATAAATCGAAATCTATGAAAATTCAATTTAACGATGCAGTCGGAAACATTGAAATGGAATCGTAAAATATTTAGTATATCCTCTGTTGCTTTTACGTCCAACAGATGGCGCTGTTAAAAAAAAAAAAAAACATGTTTTTACCTGTCACAGGTGTGGCATGTATATAGTAGGCATATAAAAACACGCATATTCGAATGCAACGTTGTGTCAAAATTCCAATGAAGTTTCAATGCTAATTTCAAAATCGGTGAAGAACTTTCGGAAATTAGCGATTTTGAACAAAACGAACATTTACATTTGTATTTCCATAGAAAATCGGCAAATTAGAAATACAATAAGTACAACTAATGAGACTTTTATCGTTATTATACAACCAAAACATAGAATCGGGATAGTTGCTGACGATGATGTCCATTCTGATATGTAGCAACTAGTTTTTACAATTCCAGATCCCCATACCCCTCGTTAATTGGTGCCCATGCCCCCGACGGGGGTATAGATACCCCGGGTTACAAACCCCTGTGCCACCATTTGGTCACCACTTGGTCCGGGAGACATCTCCCGTCACGCAGGGTGCAGTTGCGCCTCCACAGATCTCCAGTATCATCTTTTGATACTGGTAATGGCTCGAAAGGGCCACCACTTACGGGCTATTCATGCCCGTGCCACCTCTTGGGTGGCTTAATCTTCATCAATCAATCAATCAACCCCTGTGCTCACGGGAGACATCTCCCGTCACGCAGGGTGCAGTCGCGCCTCCACAGATCTCCAGTATCTTCTATTGATACTGGTAATGGCTCAAAAGGGCCACCACTTACGGGCTATTCATTCCCGTGCTACCTTTTGGGTGGCTTCATCTTCATCTTAACACATTCACAAAGGAGACATCTCCCGTCACGCAGGGTGCAGTCGCGCCTCCACAGATCTCCAGTATCTTCTATTGATACTGGTAATGGCTCAAAAGGGCCACCACTTACGGGCTATTCATTCCCGTGCCACCTTTTGGGTGGCTTCATCTTCATCTTAACACATTCACAAAGGAGACATCTCCCGTCATGCAGGGTGCATTCGCACCTCCACAGATCTCCAGTATCTTCTATTGATACTGGTAATGGCTCAAAAGGGCCACCACTTACGGGCTATTCATGCCCGTGCCACCTCTTGGGTGACTTAATCTTCATCAATCATTCAATCAACCCCTGTGCTCCAGCACGTCAGCGTTGGTGGCATGTACAACACTTGATACATAGCCAGGACAGTCATCCAAGACGTATAGCTAAGTGTGTGTGTTTACATTAGTGAACTGTTGTGTAAGTTAAGTGGTGAGGCACTTGAAACTCGACACGTGTCAATGGGTGGCTGGAGGGTCGTAGTAAGTGTGTGGGTGAGTGTGTGTGTGTGTGGGTAAGTGCCTGCCTCGACTACACGGTCTCTTGGGGGCTATACCTGGTGTCTTGGGGGCTACACCTGGCCTCTTGGGGGCTACACCTGGTGTTGGGGATACACTTGGCCTCTTGGGGGCTACACCTGGCCTCGTGGGGGCTACACCTGGCCTCTTGGGAGCTACACCTGGCCTCTTGGGATCTACACCTGGCCTCTTGGGAGCTACACCTGGCCTCTTGGGGGCTACACCTGGCCTCTTGGGAGCTACACCTGGCCTCTTGGGAGCTACACCTGGCCTCTTGGGGGGCTACACCTGGTCTCTTGGGGGCTACACCTAGCCTCTTGGGGGCTACACCTGGCCTCTTTGGGGCTGCACCTAGCCTCTTGGGGGGCTACACCTGGTCTCTTGGGGGCTACACCTGGCCTCTTGGGGGCTACACCTGGTCTCTTGGGGGCTACAGCTAGCCTCTTGGGGGCTACACCTGGCCTCTTGGGGGCTACACCTGGTCTCTTGGGGGGCTACACCTGGCCTCTTGGGGGCTACACCTGGTCTCTTGGGGGCTACACCTAGCCTCTTGGGGGCTACACCTGGCCTCTTGGGGGCTACACCTGGCCTCTTGGGGGCTACACCTGGTCTCTTGGGGGCTACACCTAGCCTCTTGGGGGCTACACCTGGCCTCTTGGGGGCTACACCTAGTCTCTTGGGGGCTACACCTGGCCTCTTGGGGGCTACACCTGGCCTCTTGGGGGCTACAGCTAGCCTCTTGGGGGCTACACCTGGCCTCGTGGGGGCTACACCTGGCCTCTTGGGAGCTACACCTGGCCTCTTGGGAGCTACACCTGGCCTCTTGGGGGCTACACCTGGCCTCTTGGGGGCTACACCTGGCCTCTTGGGGGCTACACCTGGCCTCTTGGGGGCTACACCTGGCCTCTTGCGAGCTACACCTAGTCTCTTGGGGGCTACACCTGGTCTCTTGGGGGCTACACCTGGCCTCTTGGGGGCTACACCTGGCCTCTTGGGGGCTACACCTGGCCTCTTGGGGGCTACACCTGGCCTCTTGAGGCTACATCAATCCTCTTCATCTCACCCCCACCCACCCAAGATCAAGAAAACAGGAGAAAGTTTCCTAATCCCTTGATAGGTGGGGCGTGGCGAGCCGACCTTGTGTGACCTGTAGCCCGATAGGCTCCGTACCCACGCCAACATTTGTGTACGTAAGTGTTCTTTCACTAGTATGTCAGGAGTTGACCAGCACTGCCGTGCTATACACCAACATTATAACCAACATAGCCTATGAGTAAATAAGTCATTATAACCAACATAGCCAAGGAGGCCTGGTCGACGACCGGGCCGCGGGGACGCTAAGCCCCGGAAGCACCTCAAGGTAAGGTAGCCTATGTCGCCTGTTGTAAAACATCTTCTCTTGACACTCTTCCTCTCTCATGTATATCTATATGTACACAACTCATACTTGGGCCGTAGTTATATGAACATATTATAGTCAGTTTTCTAATTAAACAATTTAGTACAAAAACCAACTTTAAAAATGGAAAAAAAACAAATAACGCGAACGTGAAAACGGGACATCTGAAAGGGACGGTTGGGAAATGGAGAACGAAGAATTAAGGACCAACTCAAATGCAAATTCGAAAACCTTTTATATTGTATATTATAATCGAGTCCCAGTCTGGCCGGTCAGAGACCGGACCTCGGTGGCAATGACCCCCTGGAACTACCAAAAAAAGGCATCCATAAAGGTCAGTAGGTAATGTGATGGGCTGTTGCAGAATATGCAAGGAATCACATGGTTTTGCAAGATGGATAACTCACTCTGTGTGGTGTTGCAGGACTTACAGCGTGATGGGGTCGCGACTGTTGCGACCGAATAGGGACTACCATGTGGTGGTGTCGACCCACGGGACCACCGACCCCGTCAAGGTCAACGTGGAGGTTGGCGGCAAGCAGGACGCTGGCGGTGTCATCCTCAACCGTCAGTTGGCTGACCTCCAGCCGGACTCCACCCAGGTCCTTAACTTCCAGGTAGGTCCCGCTCCGGGTCCTCAACTTCCAGGTAGGTCCCGCTCCGGGTCCTCAACTTCCAGGTAGGTCCCGCTCCAGGTCCTTAACTTCCAGGTAGGTCCCGCTCCGGGTCCTCAACTTCCAGGTAGGTCCCGCTCCGGGTCCTCAACTTCCAGGTAGGTCCCGCTCCAGGTCCTCAACTTCCAGGTAGGTCCCGCTCCAGGTCCTTAACTTCCAGGTAGGTCCCGCTCCAGGTCCTTAACTTCCAGGTAGGTCCCGCTCCAGGTCCTTAACTTCCAGGTAGGTCCCGCTCCGGGTCCTCAACTTCCAGGAAGTCCCCGCTCCAGGTCTTCAATTTCCAGGTAGGTCCCGCTCCAGGTCCTTAACTTCCAGGTAGGTCCCGCTCCAGGTCCTTAACTTCCAGGTAGGTCCCGCTCCAGGTCCTCAACTTCCAGGTAGGTCCCGCTCCGGGTCCTCAACTTCCAGGAAGTCCCTGCTCCAGGTCTTCAATTTCTAGGTAGGTCCCGCTCCAGGTCCTCAACTTCCAGGAAGGTCCCGCTCCAGGTCCTCAACTTCCAGGTAGGCCCCGCTCCAGGTCTTCAACTTCCAGGAAGGTCCCGCTCCAGGTCCTTAACTTCCAGGTAGGTCCCGCTCCAGGTCCTCAACTTCCAGGTAGGTCCCGCTCCAGGTCTTCAACTTCCAGGAAGGTCCCGCTCCAGGTCCTCAACTTCCAGGAAGTCCCCGCTCCAGGTCCTCAACTTCCAGATAGGTCCTGCTCCAGGTCTTCAACTTCCAGGAAGGTCCCGCTCCAGGTCCTCGACTTCCAGGAAGTCCCCGCTCCAGGTCCTCAACTTCCAGGTAGGTCCTGCTCCAGGTCCTTAACTTCCAGATAGGTCCCGCTCCAGGTCTTCAACTTCCAGGAAGGTCCCGCTCCAGGTCCTCAACTTCCAGGTAGGTCCCGCTCCAGGTCCTCAACTTCCAGGAAGTCCCCGCTCCAGGTCCTCAACTTCCAGGTAGGTCCCGCTCCAGGTCCTCAACTTCCAGGTAGGTCCTGCTCCAGGTCCTTAACTTCCAGATAGGTCCCGCTCCAGGTCTTCAACTTCCAGGTAGGTCCCGCTCCAGGTCCTTAACTTCCAGGGTATGGATTTCCAGACAGGCACTTGTTTCGTATTCTTAGACTTCCAGGTAATCCCAGACCTTGTTTCCAGGTAAGCCCACAGTGCTATTTTGGTGTCCCACACAATTTACCATCCTAGAACACGTGTTGGTCCAAACACGTGTCATTCAGGCCATACCTTTATCCTAACACCTGCCTTACTGATTGCATCCAACATTATCTGAACTCAGAGACAGGTATTAGACCTGTGTGTGTACCCACGTGTCACCTATGCTGCTGTAATTGTTGTTATCATCACCTTGTACTCACACACACACACCTGTAGTACACAAGTGTACCCCCGCAGATCGGGGAGCTGGGCCCGGGCGAGTACAACCTGAATTGTTGTCATCATCACCTTGTACTCACACACACACCTGTAGCGCACAAGTGTACTCCCACAGATCGGGGAGCTGGGCCCGGGCGAGTACAACCTGAATTGTTGTCATCATCACCTTGTACTCACACACACACCTGTAGCGCACATGTGTACTCCCGCAGATCGGGGAGCTGGGCCCGGGCGAGTACAACCTGAATTGTTGTCATCATCACCTTGTACTCACACACACACACCTGTAGTACACATGTATACTCCCACAGATCGGGGAGCTGGGCCCGGGCGAGTACAACCTGACGGTGAGCGGGTCTGGAGGGCTGAGCTTCCACAACACCACCATGCTGGAGTACGTGCACAAGTCGTACTCGGTGTTCATCCAGTCGGACAAGGCGGTGTACAAGCCTGGGGACCTGCTCAGGTTCAGGGTGGTGGTGGTCAACCCCATGCTCAGGCCCACCGTCACCGGCGCCATCGACGTCTTTATTAGGGTAAGGCACGGCAGAGGTGGGGGGGGTTGTGGGAGAGGCAGGGGGGGGGGGGAGCTGGGGGGGCTGTGGGAGAGGCAGGGGGAGGGGAGCTGGGGGGGCTGTGGGAGGGGGAGTATGGGGGCCATTTACCCCCGTGATGAAGAGTTGATGAGTGTTTCCTTCAGTAATGTTACTTTCAATAACACACAAAGTTCACGGTGGTTGCAAGTGAGAGTAACGGAGGAGTGTGACAAACATTGTTACCTTAACACACGATGGTAACAGCCGGGACCACCCCACACCCTCCTCCTCCTCCAGTATACCTCAGTATACCACAGTAAACCTTCCCAAACTTAATACTTTATCAATATTTAGTTATACCCCCACTCAGTTGAATGAACGCGCCAAAGAGGCTACAAAAATCCTACTTGTGTTCTTGGTGTGTATATTGAACGTGTATATTGAAGACGGAACTCCTAACATCGGGTCCAGTACTTGTAGACGAGCTCCGAGTACCCTTACTCAAGGAAACACTCGAGTATCTCTACTATTTTTTTTTTTTTAAGTGAACATAGTGTTAGTAGGCCGTGCCTCGCAGGCGCGGTTGGTAAGCCTAATGCCCCTGTAAGCCTGCACCTGTAAGCCTAGTGCACCTGTAGGCCTAGTGCACCTGTAAGCCTAGTGCACCTGTAGGCCTAGTGGGCCTAGTGCCCCTGTAGGCCTAGTAGGCCTAGTGCCCTTGTAAGCCTAGTGCCCCTGTAGGCCTAGTGCATCTCTAAGCCTAGTGGCGTGTCCATTGTAATGTTATATTTATGCTTGTGTGTGTGTGGTGTGTGGGTCAGGACGGGGCGGGCCACCGCGTGAAGGAGTGGCGGCGAGTGTTCACCAACAAGGGCGTGTGGTCGGGAGAGCTGCAGCTGGCCGACGAACCCGTCTTGGGCCGCTGGAACATCACCGTCGACGTCCTCGGCCAGACCACCTCGCGCGCCATCACCGTCGCCTACTATGTCCTCCCCAAGTTTGAGGTGATCGTCTCCCTGCCCCAGTACGCCACCTTTGACCAGAAGGAGATGGTCGCCACCGTCGAGGCAAAGTACGTGTCGCTTTCTGTTTTGTTATTATTTTCTACCACAGACGTGGCCACACATTTACAGTGCTGCTAGACCGCTATAACCCCAGTGGATAGATAAGGCCGGGCTGGATGAGGGACTACAAACATAATCTCTCCTCTTCAGTAACATATACACGTAACAATCGCTCGAGTTGATAAAGACCCACAGACCAAACTTCATCTACAAATAATGTTAAAGACTCACAGACCAAACTTTATCTACAAATAATGTTAAAGACCCACAGACCAAACTTCATCTACAAATAATGTTAAAGACTCACAGACCAAACTTTATCTACAAATAATGTGTACTTTCGTGCCTGAGGGAATGTGTTGTGGTGTTGTAAGTGATGACTGTGACCTGTGGTGACCTGATGTGATGTTCCCCGGCCAGGTACACTTACGGGCGGCCGGTCAAGGGGGAGGTCACCCTCCAGGTCACGCCCACCTACAAGTACGGCTACCTACAGGCGCCCTACGACGACCCCATCAGAGTGGTGAAGCAGATGAAGGGCAAGGCTGACATTGTCATCGACCTCCAAGGTGACGCCAGGTGAGTCTTCCCCTCTCAAGGTGGACCTCGGGTGAGTGTCGCCTCTCAAGGTGGACCTCGGGTGAGTCTCCCCTCTCAAGGTGGACCTCGGGTGAGTCTTCCCCTCTCAAGGTGGACCTCGGGTGAGTGTCGCCTCCCAAGGTGGACCTCGGGTGAGTTCGTTAATCTTAGGTGACTCCCATGGAAGTCTGACAAACTGACGCCATCCCACGGTGAGAGTCAATTAAAAGTAAGTCTATTGAGAAAATAACATGTATCCCAAAAGGCTAGAGTAACAGGTAATTTCTACCCTCCTCGGAGGTGAGTCACAGATGCACTGTGTCCCGAGGTCAACACATCTGTGTCTATGGGACACAGATTCACGCCCACTTGCTGGCAAATGTCCTAGACACATTAAATTTCATTTTGCGATGATAAATATAATGGTGAACTGGTGCAGGTTATATTTACGAGTAAATGTTAGTGAATATGGCCTTGGTGACGTGGGCCGTGTTGCAGGCTGAAGGGTGACATATAATGAACTGGTGCAGGTTATATTTACGAGAGTAAATGTTAGTGAATATGACCTTGGTGACGTGGGCCGTGTTGCAGGCTGAAGGGTGACATATAATGAACTGGTGCAGGTTATATTTACGAGAGTAAATGTTAGTGAATATGGCCTTGGTGACGTGGGCCGTGTTGCAGGCTGAAGGGTGACATATAATGAACTGGTGCAGGTTATATTTACGAGAGTAAATGTTAGTGAATATGGCCTTGGTGACGTGTTGACGTGTTGCAGGCTGAAGGGTGACATATAATGAACTGGTGCAGGTTATATTTACGAGAGTAAATGTTAGTGAATATGACTTACGGGCTATTCATGCCCGTGCCACCTCTTGGGTGGCTTAATCTTTATCAATCAGTGAATATGACCTTGGTGACGTGGGCCGTGTTGCAGGCTGAAGGGTGACATATAATGAACTGGTGCAGGTTATATTTACGAGAGTAAATGTTAGTGAATATGACTTACGGGCTATTCATGCCCGTGCCACCTCTTGGGTGGCTTAATCTTTATCAATCAGTGAATATGACCTTGGTGACGTGTTGACGTGTTGCAGGCTGAAGGGTGACTACGCACGGGAGCTGGAGGTGACGGCCTACGTGGAGGAGGAGTTGACGGGACGCGTGCAGAACGCCACCTCGCGGCTCACCGTCTACCGCTACCCGTACGCCCTCAAGCTCATCCGCACCTCCGACAGCTTCAAGCCGGGCCTCAAGTACACAGCTTTCGTAAGTTGTCAGCTTCCTGCACGACACTCGTGTTCATGTCTTGTCTGCCTGCCTCAACAAGCAGGTGGAACACATCTCTGTAAACATTACAACATTAGAGGTCGGCAGGTAGCCGGATGGCCCGTACTAGCCACGTCCCATTGTAATCCACCTTCCTCACTCGTATACCTAACCAATATATTTTTGAAACCAAACGTTCCCGTCAAATATCGTCCAACCACTTGGGCTGGACGGTAGAGCGACGGTCTCGCTTCATGCAGGTCGGTGTTCAATCCCCGACCGTCCAAGTGGTTGGGTACCATTCCTTTCCCCCGTCCCATCCCAAATCCTTATCGTGACCCCTTCCCAGTGCTATATAGTCGTAATGGCTTGGCGCTTCCTCTTCATAGTTCCCTTCCCTTCCCGTCAAATATACCAGGAAATTACGATGCCGTAATTTATCTATAACAAAATGATGACCAAACAACAACTTAGAAGATGGCGAAGCGACGACGTTTTGGTTCCCCATAGACCATTATCAAGTTGTATCTGACTTGATACGACTTGAGAATGGTCCACGAGGGACCGACACGTCGTCATTCCCTCCATCTTGTGATGTGTGGCTGGGTCACGGTATCTTGAGCGACGTTATTGTGTCTCATCGTCTACACTAGTTTCAATTAGTTGTAGTTTCAAAGCAGAGTACTGGGAAGACGGGACACCACGAGCGTAGCTCTCATCTTGTAACTACACTTAGGTAATTACACTTAGGTAATTACACTTAGGTAATTACACTTAGGTAATTACACTTAGGTAATTACACTTAGGTAATTACTATTGTCTTCCGGCAGTTAAAAGTATCGTACCAGGACGACACGCCGGTGACATCGGGGGAGGTAACGGTGAGACATACCTTCACCAGGAACCAGGAGGACTTCACCGAGAAGGTGCACGTCATCCCCCCCACAGGTATCATCACCCTGGAGTTCCTCCCGCCCCTCGACGATGACGTGTTGAGCCTGGCTCTGGAGGCTCGCTACCTCGAGCTCACCCAGTGGCTCGGGGACATCATTAGAGCTCAGAGTCCCACCAACGCCTTCCTGCAGGCCACCCTTATCACCCAGAACCCTAAGGTAGGTCTTGCTTCTTCCTCGGCGTCTTCAGTCACCTTCAGACTCTTCTCCAAGAAGCTTTAGTATATCTTAGAGATGCTTAAAGTGCCCCAAGTGGTGTCAATTCTTTCCTTATAGCTCAGTCTTTTGTTAATTTATCTTTTTTTAATTCTGTGGAGTCCTGTAAAAGTTTCCAAATTTAGTTTAGTTCCTATAATTCCTATATAGTCCCAACTACACCTCCGGGAACCCCACACACACATCCCAGACCTCGCAAAGAACTCCTCTTGAGAAAGAACTTAACGTTGATCCAAGTACTTTCCTTAGAACAGAAGGCTTCCTGTGTTCCAGAACTTGTTTAAAATAATACCGTAGGTCACCGTACCTGCTAATGGGTGAGGCATTACGACATGTGTGACCCCTGAGTGTTAAGAAGCAATAAGATGCTTATCTTAACATACTAAGAAGGTTAGGTGAGGTCGGTGTTTTCTATGAAGCTTTTCAAGGTTAACTAAAATATTCACAACCAATTAGTATGTCATATATGCACTTATTAAATAAGCCAATATTGACTCTAAGCAAGTGCGAGAACGGGTTGGAGTGTTAGTCCTCACACTGACCTCAGTTGGGGACTCGCTTGCAACCCGTTCTCGCAAAATTAATAAGTCAATATTGACTTATTTGTTGCGTGCATAGGTGACATACTAAACATAATAGTTTCCCTTGAAAAGCTTCATAGAAAACACCGACCTTACCTAACCTACTTAGTATGTTAAAATAAGCATCTTATAGCTTCGTAATTACAATTGTTACTTAACCTATTATAGGTATAGGTTAGGTAATAATTGTAATTACGAAGCAATAAGATGCTTATCTTAACATACTAAGTAGGTTAGGTAAGGTCGGTGTTTTCTATGAAGCTTTTCAAGGGAAACTATTATGTTAAGTATGTCACCTGTGCACATATTTAATAAGTCAATATTGACTTATTAAATTTGCGAGAACGGGTTGCTCGCTTGCAGGCTAAGAGTCCCACACTGGCAAGTCCCACACTGGGACGTTTTCCCTACAGAGGACAACCTTCTGTCATCGGTACTGGGAGTCAACGTGAACTTTCTCATAAGTAGAGCTTTTAACAAAAACCTTTAACACTGAATTCTAATATAATGGATCGTGTTAGTTGAAGACAGAACGACTTGTTATTCAGTTCCAGTTCCAGGGAGGCAGTAGTTGGGGCAATAGAGGACGCTCTAGTCAGTCACTCCAATAGAGCTCTATGTATGTTAAAATACTTGGAAAAAATTACAATTTATGGAGAATGTCACAACGTGCCTGAAACATTCATTCGTATTCGTTTCATTCCATGTGTGGGGATGGGTTATCCCACACGTGGGATGGGTTAGCCCACACGTGGGATGGGTTATCCCACGCGTGGGATGGGTTATCCCACACGTGGAATGGGTCATCCCACACGTGGGATGGGTTATTCCACACGTGGGATGGGTTATCCCACACGTGGAATGGGTTATCCCACACGTGGAATGGGTCATCCCACACGTGGAATGGGTCATCCCACACGTGGAATGGGTCATCCCACACGTGGAATGGAATGAATGTGATGACATAATGAGGGTGCACAATTTAGGTCCCCCCCCCCACCCATTCCCCAAACACTTCCCCATAATACAAAATACATTCTAATGTTCATGATATAATGATAGACCTATTCTCCATCTTTTAGAAAGTTTGATATCTAAAATTATCCATTACTAAATATAAAAAAATGATAACTTATGAGAAATCTCTATAGATAAGCAGCCAATCTTCTAATTAAATACCCCCCCCCCCTTTTCAAAAATTCTTTGCTCGTAAAAAAAACATGATTTTCCAAATCCAAAATGTATATCCGTACTTCAGAGAACTATCTTTTTTCATATTAAATAAACTAATGAATAACAAGACGCCATAATTAGCATGCAAATGAGTCAACATTTCCTTTGTTAATACAAGATCTTCCATTATTAATTATAAACAACAAATAGTTTCAATCAACCTTTTAACCAAATGATCTTTGTCTTGTATTTGATCTTGTTTATTAATGACTTTTCTAATGTCTCTAAATGACTCGTAATAACTTATTACTCCTCATAACGGCCGGCAGCTCAGATTCCTTGTTTCCAAGAAGCGGAAATGTCATTGTACCAGTTGCTGCATGTTGGTGGTGCAGTATGACCTCTTATAATGATGCATGGTTAACCTCTTCCCTCTCTCTCTCTCTCTCTCTCTCACTCCTGTCAACCTCCTCCCTCCCTCCCTCCTCACTGCATGGCTCCTCGTGGCGTCAACAGGTCGGCGACGAGGTAGAGGTCTCCCTCACCACTACGGAATTGGTACGTTACAACCTCTACACTACTTTGTTGCCACACTGTTGCTTCTCCCTGTTGCTGCCACACTATGTATCATCACCCCTTTGTTGCCACACTGTTGCTTCTCCCTGTTGCTGCCACACTATGTATCATCACCCCTTTGTTGCCACACTGTATCATCACCCCTTTGCTGCCACACTGTGTATCATCACCCCTGTTGCTGCCACACTATGTATCATCACCCCTTTGTTGCCACACTATGTAGCTTCTCCCTGTTGCTGCCACACTGTGTATCATCACCCCTTTGCTGCCACACTATGTAGCTTCTCCCTGTTGCTGCCACACTGTGTATCATCACCCCTTTGCTGCCACACTGTGTATCATCACCCCTTTGCTGCCACACTGTGTATCATCACCCCTTTGCTGCCACACTGTGTATCATCACCCCTTTGCTGCCAACAACAAGTTGCTAGCAGCACAGACTATGGCGAGCCCCGTCGTACTCACCCGGCACAGGAGATCTATTCTCAGGTTATCTTGAGATGATTTCGGGGCTTAGCGTCCCCGCGGCCCGGTCCTCGACCAGGCCTCCTTTTTTGTTACACATCCCCCAGGAAGCAGCCCCGTAGCAGCTGTCTAACTCCCAAGTACCTATTTACTGCTAGATGTACAGGCGCATCAGATGAAAGAAACTCTGCCCATTTGTGTCCGCCTCCACCGGGGATCGAACCTGGAGCATGGTGTACAACCCCCTTATAGTGCTGCTGTTAAGACAATCTAATTCCAGCTCTCCGCTACACAAAGGAGCTCGCTTCCGTCTTAATAACAGGGTCGAGGTTATCTTCTAATTTCCAGACAACAAGAACGGGTTTTCCTCGTATTGATTATTTGTTTTCTGGACTTGCGTCTTGACTTCCCTCCTTGCAATAAGGTTGCTTCTTGGTAGCGTATGAAACAACCTGTTATACATGGCAGGTAGTTTAAATTCTTGGGTGTTCAAGAATAACACCAGTTGTATGTCACTCATATTGTGACATATTGTATTGGCACTCGTATTGTATTGGCACTCGTATTGTATTGGCACTCGTATTGTATTGGCACTCGTATTGTATTGGCACTCATATTGTATTGGCACTCGTATTGTATTGGCACTCATATTGTATTGGCGTATGTCTTTCCATTGGAGACTTTCAGCGCCGTGGAGAAGGGGGGGGACCTGCTGCATGGGTAACAGCTTCTCCCCCGTATCAACCTACCCTGGCTTTGCGCCCTGGAGAGGCCACTCCTCACCGACAACCAGAGCGCAACTCCATAGTCTCCTGAGACTGATGGATGCCTACTACATTACTTTCTTATCCTTGCCTGTTTTTCAAAAATATTTTTAAGAAATTATTGACCAAATTGTCTATTAAATGTCTTGAGACTTGTCTAGTAAAGCTTTTTACATACACAAGAGTTGTTACAGTCGTGTACAGCCACCAGCACGCGTAGCGTTTCGGGCAAGTCCTTCTTCCTGTGTCCCCCGGAATACCACCCACCAAATTGTTTAACAACCAGGAGCTAGATTCACGAAGCAGTTACGCAAGCACTTACGAACCTGTCCATCTTTTCTCAATCTTTGCCGGCTTTGTTTACAATTATTAAACAGTTAATGAGCTCCGAAGCACCAGGAGGCTGTTTGTAACAATAACAACAATTGATTGGCAAGTTTTCATACTTGTAAACTGTTTAATAAATGTAACCAAAGCCGTCAAAGATTGAGAAAAGATGGACAGGTTCGTAAGTGTTTGCGTAACTGCTTCGTGAATCTAGGTCCAGATAACCATTTTACTGTTGGGTAAACAGAGGCTATAGTTAAGGCTTGGCACCCAGTAAATCCTCCCCGTCCAGGATACGAACCCAGGACAAAGCGCTCGCTAAACGCCAGGCGAGTGTCTTACCACTACACCACGAAAACTGCAATTTTACTGATACCTTGCTTCTCAAGATGGAGTAGCTTCCCTTAACGAGTTAACTAGCATGATTTTGAACTCAACACTTGTAATAATTACTAAACGTGTAGTTGTAATGGCTCGACAAGCATCTCACAAGTGACATAATAGCAACAAGTTAGCCTGTTGAGTGTTCGTGAAGGTGTTGAAGAGCCTCCATAGTTGGTAAGCTTGACGAGGGCGTGTCACTGTCTCACTGGCCGCACGCTGCAACTGCACTGTGATCTGTTATTGTTGCACGGCTTGCTTCTCCTGCCCCCTGGCACCACCACCCTCCTCCTCCTGTGTGTGTGTGTGTGGCGCCCCGGCACACACCACCAGCACGGCGGTGGTGGTGGTGGTGGTGGTGGTGGTGGTCGAAGTCTCCCTCAACACCTCGGTGTTGGTACGTTGGTGCTTCCAGCTCCTTTGGTGTCACACCATCTTGGTTGGTCCCTCCCTCACTCGTGGTGCCACACTACTCTGGCCCCCTCCCTCTCCTGGTGTCACACCATCTTGGTTGGTCCCTCCCTCACTCGTGGTGCCACACTACTCTGGCCCTCTCCCTCTCCTGGTGTCACACCATCTTGGTTGGTCCCTCCCTCACTCGTGGTGCCACACTACTCTGGCCCTCTCCCTCTCCTGGTGTCACACCATCTTGGTTGGTCCCTCCCTCACTCGTGGTGCCACACTACTCTGGCCCTCTCCCTCTCCTGGTGTCACACTATTCCTTGCCACCCCCCCCTCTTGAGCCACATTACTCTGCCCCCCCCCCTCTACTGGCGCCACATTCCCCTGGCCCTCCTGGTGCCACACCCTAGACCCCTGTAGTGCCACACTACCTGGACCCCTCCCAGCCCACACTCGCCAGACCCCAGCACTAACCTGTTCCTCATTACCTCTTCATCATGTTCAGTAATCATGTTATATTTCACACCCTTAACATGGCTCCTCTCGGCATTTATCTTTCATTTAAGGATTTGAATGACCACTGAAATTAATACTGCCTTTAATATAGTATTTTAATATGGGTTGAAATATTTATATTATTATATAATATCTATTTATTATATTATTTATTATATTATATATTTATTTATATTAATTATATATTATATATTATTATTTATATTATTTTATATTATTATATATTATATATTATATTATCATTATTATTAGTGATTTGTTAAGCGTTCATTTGTCAGGAAAGTTAGTAATGACCCGCATTTGTGGCCATGGATGATCTTATTGGCAGCTGTTGACCTCTGACCTCTGTTGCCCTCCGTACCAATTATACGTGTTAGCCCTGAACCTGTGACATGTCTTGACCTGTGACATGTGTTAACCTCTGACCCACCGACGGAGATGTAGTGATCCCCCAGACCCGACACATATACTGACCCTTCACTGGGGGTCAATATGTGTTGATATCCGGGATACATTATGGGGCAAGCTTGGCTGTAGGTCATTAGTTTCTTGTGATGAATTGGTTTGACCTTTGACGACCTCAGACAGTGGAAGATAAGTTAACAAAATAGCATTTGTTTAAGGTTTATTCTCAGTGTCAGTGAGTACAACCACCTGCTCTATCCGGGCTATTATCTGACATCAGGATGTCAATATCAGTTGACCCATGACGTGATATGAGTTGACCTCTAAGGACTACTCCCATACCCCCCCCCCTACCCCCCACCCCTTGCTCAACCACTTGGGCTGGACGGTAGAGCGACGGTCTCGCGTCATGCAGGTCGCTGTTCAATCCTCGACCGTCCAAGTGGTTGGGCACCATTCCTTTCCCCCCCCCGTCCCATCCCAAATCCTTATCCTGACCCCTTCCCAGTGCTATATAGTCGTAATGGCTGGGCGCTTCCTCCTCATAGTTCCCTTCCCCCCCCCCTTACAGCTCCGACCTTCCTTTCGTATCCCCTGCCCCCTGGTGAGTGGCCCTTGGCACCATGACCAAGTGAACTGTTGATGTTGTTAACTTGCAGGTGGGAGATGCCGTGGAGGTGGAACTCAACGCCACGCAGAATATGATCCACTTCGTCTACGAGGTTATCGGTCGAGGAGACGTCCTCTTTGCTGACACTCTCCAGGCTCACCAGGGCACCACTCACACCTTCAGGTGGGTCCTCATGGTGCCACTCACACCTTCAGGTGGGTCCTTATAGTGCCACTCACACCTTCAGGTGGGTCCTCATGGGTCACCACTCACACCTTCAGGTGGGTCCTCATGGGTCACCACTCACACCTTCAGGTGGGTCCTCATAGTGCCACTCACACCTTCAGGTGGGTCCTCATAGTGCCACTCACACCTTCAGGTGGGTCCTCATGGGTCACCACTCACACCTTCAGGTGGGTCCTCATGGTGCCACTCACACCTTCAGGTGGGTCCTTATAGCGCCACTCACACCTTCAGGTGGGTCCTCATGGTGCCACTCACACCTTCAGGTGGGTCCTCATGGGTCACCACTCACACCTTCAGGTGGGTCCTCATGGGTCACCACTCACACCTTCAGGTGGGTCCTCATGGTGCCACTCACACATTTCAGATGGGTCCTCCCCAGGGCGTGAAGTCTTGCGTGTAGCCACACACATGCGTATATCCAACCCGTTAAGTGATGTGAATAGTGTGCGTATTGTCACTATGCAAGCACAGTACTGACACAGCCCCACTAACGTTGATGATACCGACACAGCCCACTAACGTTGATGATACTGACACAACCCACTAACGTTGATGATACTGACACAGCCCCACTAACGTTGATGATACCGACACAGCCCATTAACGTTGATGATACTGACACAGCCCCACTAACGTTGATGATACCGACACAGCCCACTAACGTTGATGATACTGACACAGCCCCACTAACGTTGATGATACTGACACAGCCCACTAACGTTGATGCTACTGACACAGCCCACTAACGTTGATGATACTGACACAGCCCACTAACGTTGATGATACTGACACAGCCCACTAACGTTGATGATACTGACACAGCCCACTAACGTTGATGATACTGACACAGCCCACTAACGTTGATGATACTGACACAGCCCACTAACGTTGATGATACTGACACAGCCCACTAACGTTGATGCTACTGACACAGCCCACTAACGTTGATGATACTGACACAGCCCATTAACGTTGATGATACTGACACAGCCCCACTAACGTTGATGATACTGACACAGCCCACTAACGTTGATGATACTGACACAGCCCATTAACGTTGATGATACTGACACAGCCCACTAACGTTGATGATACCGACACAGCCCACTAACGTTGATGATACTGACACAGCCCCACTAACGTTGATGATACCGACACAGCCCATTAACGTTGATGATACTGACACAGCCCACTAACGTTGATGATACTGACACAGCCCACTAACGTTGATGATACTGACACAGCCCACTAACGTTGATGATACTGACACAGCCCACTAACGTTGATGATACTGACACAGCCCACTAACGTTGATGCTACTGACACAGCCCATTAACGTTGATGATACTGACACAGCCCACTAACGTTGATGATACCGACACAGCCCACTAACGTTGATGATACTGACACAGCCCCACTAACGTTGATGATACCGACACAGCCCATTAACGTTGATGATACTGACACAGCCCCACTAACGTTGATGATACCGACACAGCCCACTAACGTTGATGATACTGACACAGCCCACTAACGTTGATGATACTGACACAGCCCACTAACGTTGATGATACTGACACAGCCCACTAACGTTGATGATACTGACACAGCCCCACTAACGTTGATGATACCGACACAGCCCACTAACGTTGATGATACTGACACAGCCCACTAACGTTGATGATACTGACACAGCCCACTAACGTTGATGATACCGACACAGCCCACTAACGTTGATGATACTGACACAGCCCCACTAACGTTGATGATACTGACACAGCCCACTAACGTTGATGATACTGACACAGCCCACTAACGTTGATGATACTGACACAGCCCACTAACGTTGATGATACTGACACAGCCCACTAACGTTGATGATACTGACACAGCCCACTAACGTTGATGATACTGACACAGCCCACTAACGTTGATGATACCGACACAGCCCAATAACGTTGATGATACTGACACAGCCCACTAACGTTGATGATACCGACACAGCCCCACTAACGTTGATGATACTGACACAGCCCACTAACGTTGATGATACCGACACAGCCCATTAACGTTGATGATACCGACACAGCCCATTAACGTTGATGATACTGACACAGCCCCACTAACGTTGATGATACTGACACAGCCCACTAACGTTGATGCTAATGACACAGCCCACTAACGTTGATGATACCGACACAGCCCATTAACGTTGATGACGCCTCTCGCCTTGAACAGGTTCGTAGCGACGGCGTCCATGGCTCCGAGGGCGCGCCTGCTCGTCTACTACGTCCGAGACGACGGAGAAATTGTGGCAGACTCCCTCCACTTCGCTGTTGCTGGAGCCATCCAGAATGAGGTAGGCTTTCCACTTCGCACGTTATATACTTGCAGTTACCTTAGGGCATATATATACATATATAATATGTGTGTATATATCACGAAAATAAACACGTGATTAAAAATGTGACAATGTCAGACCACGGAGGAAAAATGAAACAGGAATTTCCTTAAGTACTTTCGTATATTAATACATCTTCAGAAGGAGTCTGAAGTTTGACTCCTTCTGAAGATGTATTAATATACGAAAGTACTTAAGGAAATTCCTGTTTCATTTTTCCTCCGTGGTCTGACATTGTCATATATAATATATTCATTCTGCAGTTTTATATCGAATTGTTTGCATGTTTGCACACTAGCAAGTGTCTTTTCACACACAAACATGTCGTACAAGCGCACACACATTTAGAGAGAAGTATGTGTGTATATCATACAAACATAGGTAAGTCATAGGCATTTACAGAGGATGTATATATACCACATAAACATACACTAACACAGTTATTGGACTCTGTGACACATGTTTGATGAAGAGCTCATGGTGTTGCAAGCAGTCAGGTGTTGACACAGGCTTGGCACTCATCGGCACTCAAGTCATGTACGGTACTTGTCTGTCACAAGGATTCACCAGCAGGTACTCACCTAGTTGTGTTTGCGGGGGTTGAGCTTTGGCTCTTTGGTCCCGCCTCTCAACTGTCAATCAACTGCCGAGGTGATGTGTCCTCGGCTGCCTCCTGCTCTTCCCAACCACCTAAGCACTCCACCCTTCCATTGTATACTTGTATCGTGAAAAAATGAATTAAAAGTGAGGAATTAAAAAGCCATTGTTGCAGGGACTAACCGACCAGTGTTTGCAGAGACTAACACACCAGTGTTGCAGGGACTAACCGACCAGTGTTGCAGGGACTAACCAACCAGTGTTTACAGAGACTAACCGACCAGTGTTGCAGAGACTTAACACACCAGTGTTTACAGGTATCTGTGAACTTGACACCAGCCTCAGTGGCGCCAGGCGAGGACGTGTCCATCACCGTCACCACCAGACCCAACGCCTTCGTCGGGCTCCTTGCCGTCGACCAGAGGGCGCTCTTGCTGGCCAATGCTAACCACCTCTCGCAGGTGAGTGCGACGTTTTACGTCACTCGTATGTCAGTGTGACCTCTGTTTTGTCACACACTTGTGTCTCAAGAGACCCGTTCTAGGCACCAGGTCACCCGGGAGACCCAAAGTGACCTAGTCAGTGCATATAGGAACCATACATTAAACAAATATTCTCTCAAAAGATTCAAAATTTTATGGTATAGATTTTAAAATAAAAAATGCATTGTTATTTTGCATATATTTGTAGGGTATAGTCGGTGGATGCATCTGAAAGCATCCTCGATGTTTCGAGCTCTTCTGAAAGCACACCATCTGGTCACCATTTGGTCCGGGAGACATCTCCCGTCACGCAGGGTGCAGTTGCGCCTCCACAGATCTCCAGTGTCATCTATTGATACTGGTAATGGCTCAAAAGGGCCACCACTTACGGGCTATTCATGCCCGTGCCACCTCTTGGGTGGCTTAATCTTCATCAATCAATCTTCTGAAAGCACCGTTGGGGAAGGTGGAGGAGGAGAAGGCTAGGCTACTGGGCTTGAGGAGCCGTAGGGCCGGAGCCTCGTGTCTACAGGCGGAGTGCTAGCGTGGCATCATAAGGCAGCTGAGGCATGCTAAACGAACTAACAGGAATATGTGGTGCTCCAGGGTAGACTAACTGTAACAAATGTCAGGGGAAAGACGTCACGCGTCATTTGTAAGATTGAGCGGGTGAGGGATAATGAGACGGTTTAGTCCATAAACACCAATGATTGACGTAGAAAGTGAATTTGAGGGCAGGAAGAGGTCAGAGAGAAGATAGGATGGCGGCATCACTTTGCGTTGAGGGGTATAATTATGTAGGGTGGGTGTGTCGTGGCGCGGGAGTTGTTACCACACGTGTGTTGCAGGACGAGGTTGTGGAGGAACTGGAGAAGTACGACCCCGGCAGGAGGAACCTGGAGGGCCCGTGGTACACCCTCAGTCGCCGCAAGCGAGCCCTCTTCAACTGGCACGGCACCACCACAGCCAATGATGTCTTCAAGGTCAGTTGAGAACACTTCTCAAAGTCTACGGGCTCACCATAGCCCGTGCTACTTGGAACTTTTTGTTTCAGGTAGCGAATCTTAAACAACATGGTCAAGGGCAGTGTTGGTACCCACCTTGCTTCCCTGTACTGACTGGTAGTGATGCTACTGCCATACCAGGCAGCTAAGGTACCGTCGTGTATAACAGTGAGTACCTGGTAGTGATGCTACTGCCATACCAGGCAGCTAAGGTACCGTCGTGTATAACAGTGATGGTACTCTCGTAACTAACCAGTCTCACTGCATATATACATAGTGGAAGTTGATATGTTGACCAGACCACACACTAGAAGGTGAAGGGACGACGACGTTTCGGTCCGTCCTGGATCTCAAGTCGATTGTCAATCGACTTGAGAATGGTCCAGGACGGACCGAAACGTCGTCGTCCCTTCACCTTCTAGTGTGTGGTTTGGTCAACATACTTCAGCCACGTTATTGTGACTCATCGCCTGCATATGGACGTTGATGTATTTTAGAAAACATAGTTGTAATAAATGTAGTGTAAACCCTACAAGGATTTTAATGCAAGTAATATTGATATACTACCATTTAGGAAACTATTTTTAGAATACAGTATTGTATTTTTAGCGTTGCTATATTTGATGACTTCTGTAACTCCGGGATAACGTGGCCCGTGAATGTGACCACGTGTTAGTATTCTGTACTAACAGGTATTTGTAACGTAGATATCTGTAAGGTTGGAGTAGCCGCGATAGTCAATAGGAGACCGTTTTGTTGCAGAACGCTGGAGTAGTTGTCCTTACCAATGGCCTCGTATACGACTTCAACCCCTTCTGTGAGTATCATTGCTTTCTGTGAGCACCAGCCCCTTTCTGTGAGCACCAGTCCCTTTCTGTGAGCACCAGCCCCTTTCTGTGAGCACCAGCCCCTTTCTGTGAGCACCAGCCCCTTTCTGTGAGCACCAGCCCCTTTCTGTGCCAACCTGTCCTCTTAAAAATAACGTCGCTTTTGGCCGTTTGCCCGTATGGCCGAAAGTGGACGTAATTTGAAAATGAAAAAAAAATGAAAATAAATTTGGGATTTTTTTTTTCAACAACAGTAAGTTAAGGGTCCTCTGATAGGTTAGGTGGGCAGGAAATTCTCATAAAGTTTCAAAACGTTATGAAAAACGTTAATTGAAAGTTTCCTCTTCTAACCTTACCGAGTAAGCCGGACGACTCAAACAGAAAACGGAACAGTACGTCACTTTTGTGAGTCGATTTCATTTCAAATTACGTCCAAATTAGGCCAATAGTGCGCATACGAGCCAAAAATGACGTTATTTTTTTAAGAGGACAGGTTGTCCTGTGAGCGCCAGCTTGGCCCTCACCTACCGCCGTCCGCCTCTCTTCACTTGCCTCTTGACACAACCCGTCCTCTTAAAAATAACGTCACTTTTGGCTGGTATGCGCACTATGGCCAAATTTGGACGTAATTTGAAATGAAATCGACTCACAAAAGTGACGTACTGTTACATTTTCTGTTTGAGTCGTCCGGCTTACTCGGTAAGGTTAGAAGAGGAAACTTTCAATTAACGTTTTTCATACTGTTTTTAAACTTTATGAGAATTTCCTGCCCACCTAACTTATCAGAGGACCCTTAACTTACTGTTGTTGAAAAAAAAAAATCCCAAATTTATTTTCATTTTTTTTTAATTTTCAAATTACGTCCATATTCGGCCATACGAGTAAACGGCCAAAAGCGACGTTATTTTTAAGAGGACAGGTTGCTTGACAACCTTGGTAGTTAAACAGTAGTGTACAAGATGAATGTTTGCTGGGCATGGGTACAGAGTCACATATGGGGCATGGGTACAGAGTCACATATGGGGCGTGGGTACAGAGTCACATATGGGGCGTGGGTACAGAGTCACATATGGGGCATGGGTACAGAGTCACATATGGGGCGTGGGTACAGAGTCACATATGGGGCATGGGTACAGAGTCACATATGGCTGTTATGTAATGTTTGTGTTGTATTATTGATATTATACAGAGAGAAATCACATTAACATAAGTATCAATGAGAAAATCCGAGGGAGCAGTGATACAGATTCAAACCTATGCGCCAGCTGGGAATACCCAGCGCTGAGGTTCGAATCCTCATCACGGCTCCTATGGATTTTAGTACTGATAATTGTGATGAATATGTTCGTCTTAAAAATTTGCCCCAAGAAGAGCACACATGCTTATAATTAGGAAGAGTTGATGGAGAACGGCTTGGGAAGACAGTTGCTTCATTCTCCCTTTGTCCATCCATGGTTGATGGACAGGCTAGAATGAGGATACTTCAAGCTACATTAGAGCAATAATGCACACTAGAATATGGCAGCATTACAGGCAAGGATATAGCAGCATTATTGGCTAGGATATAACAGCATTACAGGCTAGGATATAGCAGCATTATTGGCTAGGATATAACAGCATTACAGGCTAGGATATAGCAGCATTATTGGCTAGGATATAACAGCATTACAGGCAAGGATATAGCAGCATTATTGGCTAGGATATAACAGCATTACAGGCAAGGATATAGCAGCATTATTGGCTAGGATATAACAGCATTACAGGCTAGGATATTGCAGTATAACGAGCTAGTATATTGCAGCATTACAGGCTAGTAATCTATACCTGATCAACCAGGCTGTGACCCATACGTCAGGCTGCGAGCAGCCGCGTCCAACAGCCTGGTTGATCAGTCCAGCAACCAGGAGGCCTGGTCGACGACCGGGCCGCATGGACGCTAAGCCCCGGAAGCACCTCAAGGTAACCTCAAGGTAAGGTAGTATATGGCAGCATAAAACGCTGGAAGAATGTTTAGCAGCTGTAACTATGGTGCCTCGAGGTCAGACTTGATACAAGTGGCAGAGCTGAAGCACCACGTGGCCCAAAATATAAACATTGTGCACCACGTGGCCCCAAAATATAAACATTGTGCACCACGTGGCCCAAAATATAAACATTGCGCAGCACGTGGCCCAAAATATAAACATTGTGCACCACGTGGCCCAAAATATAAACATTGCGCAGCACGTGGCCCAAAATATAAACATTGTGCACCACGTGGCCCCAAAATATAAACATTGCGCACCACGTGGCCCAAAATATAAACATTGTGCACCGCGTGGCCCCAAAATATAAACATTGTGCACCGCGTGGCCCCAAAATATAAACATTGTGCACCGCGTGGCCCCAAAATATAAACATTGTGCACCGCGTGGCCCCAAAATATAAACATTGTGCACCGCGTGGCCCAAAATATAAACATTGTGCACCACGTGGCCCAAAATATAAACATTGTGCAGCACGTGGCCCAAAATATAAACATTGTGCACCACGTGGCCCAAAATATAAACATTGTGAACCACGTGGCCCAAAATATAAACATTGTGCACCACGTGGCCCAAAATATAAACATTGTGCAGCACGTAACCCAAAATATAAACATTGTACACTATATATGCTTCATTTGAAAAAGAATTCCTTACTAGTCAGTATACTACTATAAAAGCTAAGAATGCTCGAATTCGTGACTATTGACGAATGTCACAATAGGGACTATCTAAACAGAAGGATGGTTTGTCCTAGCTCTTTAAACTCTTTAATTGTCGACTGGTTCAAATATCCCAATTACACTAACAGCCATATCTGACGAAACGAAGCCCTGTTTAAAGTTGCATAAACTGTTGCAAACGTGAGTTATATTGCTCAAGCTGGGCCGTTTTGACTATTTTTTTCCCCACTGTTGCAAAAGTTGAACTGAAATATTGTATAGTAAGCTTAAAAAAAAAACTTGGCTGAATATTGAAGAAAAAAGGGTTTTCTCCTTTTTTTTTGGAATGTTCATTAGCAAATATTAGCTCAAAAAGTCTTGTGTGAGTTAATATTACCTAGCTAAAGATAGATTTCTTTTAAGATTTCAGTCTAATTTATACCAAAAGTAGCAAAATTTTGATTTATTAGTGTTTTGTGTTGTAGCCTGGTGTGTGTTGTGTTGTAGAGTAGTGAGTCTGATGTTTTGTATTCTTGTGTGTGTTGTATTATAGTCTAGTGAGTGTGATGTATTGATGCTTAGTGAGTGATGTATTGTAGCCTAGTGTGTTGTATTATAGTCTAGTGAGTGTGATGTATTGATGCTTAGTGAGTGATGTATTGTAGCCTAGTGTGTTGTATTATAGTCTAGTGTCTTGTAGCCTAGTGTGTCGTATTGTAGCCTAGTGTGTTGTATTATAGTCTAGTGTGTGTGATGTATTGATGCTTAGTGAGTGATGTATTGTAGCCTAGTGTGTTGTATTATAGTCTAGTGTCTTGTAGCCTAGTGTGTCGTATTGTAGCCTAGTGTGTTGTATTATAGTCTAGTGTGTGTGATGTATTGATGCTTAGTGAGTGATGTATTGTAGCCTAGTGTGTTGTATTATAGTCTAGTGTCTTGTAGCCTAGTGTGTCGTATTGTAGCCTAGTGTGTTGTATTATAGTCTTGTGTGTGTGATGTAGTGTAGCCTAGTGTGTTGTATTATAGTCTTGTGTGTGTGATGTATTGTAGTCTATTGAGTGTGTTGTATTATAAGCTAGTGTGTTGTATTATAGTCTAGTGAGTGTCTTGTAGCCTAGTGTGTCGTATTGTAGCTTAGTGTGTTGTATTATAGTCTAGTGAGTGTCTTGTAGCCTAGTGTGTCGTATTGTAGCCTAGTGTGTTGTATTATAGTCTTGTGTGTGTGATGTAGTGTAGCCTAGTGTGTTGTATTATAGTCTTGTGTGTGTGATGTAGTGTAGCCTAGTGTGTTGTATTATAGTCTTGTGTGTGTGATGTAGTGTAGCCTAGTGTGTTGTATTATAGTCTTGTGTGTGTGATGTAGTGTAGCCTAGTGTGTTGTATTATAGTCTTGTGTGTGTGATGTAGTGTAGCCTAGTGTGTCGTATTGTAGCCTAGTGTGTTGTATTATAGTCTTGTGTGTGTGATGTAGTGTAGTCTATTGAGTGTGTTGTATTATAAGCTAGTGTGTTGTATGGCAGCCTAGTGAGTGTTGTAGTGTAGTGTAGCCTAAGTGTGGTGTAGTGTATCATGATGTGTGTGTGGTGGCATGTTGGAAACAGAGTGTTGTAGTAGCATATACTCTGCTTGAATGTTGTAATCTTTGCTTGTCTTAACCTTCAAGCAACTTCACTAATATTACACTGACATACAAACCCAATTAGTTTCGACTTGAACAAACAAATCCCACTTGATGGGGCATTCCCACCTTTGATACATAATTTTAATTATTTTCAAGATACGTTAGAGATATTAGAGAATTTTTGCAAATATATTTATATATCTAATATATAAAGGCAGATTCTATGATAATATAAATATTTGTCTATCGATTGTAAAAACCTAATTTGATTATACGTGTTATAAAGAAAAACTAAAATTCTAGATTTGTATTAAATATAAAGAAAAGTTATATATGTTGAGTATTTAGAAATTCATATATTATTGGACTGCCTATTAGACAATTTAATTAACATCGGATGGAAGGAAATTAATTAGGAGTTAAGCCCATGAATGATGTATTGAAATATAAATTTTTCTGCCCCAAAAAATGCACCGCAAAAATTCTTAATATTTCTTCACGATATAAAATTATATAAATAATTGTGTATATATATATATATATATATATATATATATATATATATATATATATATATATATATATATATATATATATATATATATGTTCTCTCGTCACCTTTATTAAATCTGTTTATGTTCAACGTTTTCATAGTATACAATAATAGGAGAATGGCCGGCACCTCTCAGTATTGTCATATTGTGAGCCCTCTTGTCATTGATACTATCAATTAAAATATATATACTTAATTTTTGTTCAAATAAAGCTTAAAATGCAGGTGAAATGCTAGGGTTTTCTTGTGCTGTGTAAACTAAGAATTTCAACTATAAACAAAAGGTGGGACTGCTCCTTCCATTTGTGAGTTATGAGGAGGAATGAGGCACCAACGGCGAGTGTTTAGGTCAGTTTGGGTGTTGTTGAGTAAGGCTGAGGCTCCGAGTGTGTACTGTTATATTGGGTCTTGCCTCATACGCCTCGAGGGCCTCGCCTGAGGCTCCGAGTGTGTACAGGCTCTGTGCTGTTATATTGGGTCTTGCCTCATACGCCTCGAGGGCCTCGCCTGAGGCTCCGAGTGTCTACAGGCTCTGTGCTGTTATATTGGGTCTTGCCTCATACGCCTCGAGGGCCTCGCCTGCAGGCACTTGTACCTAATGGAAGCTAGGCATCAAATCTACCGCTTGGGTACTGGTAAATCTAGTTACGATGAGTGTGTGTGTGATTAGATGCTGAAGTATACTAACACAGTAACACTGTAGTTTAGAAGATACAGTAGGATGACACTACATGGCATTGTATCCCTCGTTGTCTGCCATGTTACTACACTGTTAACCCCGAGACTCTTGTGGAGGCTCCACCACCAGCATTGTGGTTGATATTAATGTATGTGTGTGTGTGTGTGTGTGTGTGTGTGTGTGTGTGTGTGTGTGTGTGTGTGTGTGTGTGGTGTACTAACCTTTGTACTAATGTGTGTGGTGGTGTACTAACCTTTGTACTAATGTGTGTGACGGTCTTGTGGTGTACTAACCTTTGTGTGTGTGACGGTGTCGTGGTGTACTAACCTTTGTACTAATGTGTGTGACGGTGGTGTTGTGGTGTACTAACCTTTGTACTAATGTGTTTGACGGTGGTGTTGTGGTGTACTAACCTTTGTACTAACTCCTGCTTGGCTCTAGTGTACTACCGGACGATACTGGACGACCCTCGGGACCTTAGGGCCATGGAATCACAGGTGCCGGAGGCCACCCTGGTGCCCAACCCTAAAGTAGCCGCCCGAACCCGTTTCCCGGAGACCTGGGTCTTCGCCTCCGTCGACTCCGGGTATGCCAGCACCCTCCCCCTACACAGCTGTAGGCTGCACCCTCCACACCCCCCTCTAGCAGTAGGCCACCTCTCGACTTCTTTGTCACTTAGGGACTTATGTGTGTCAACTGTCTCGAGCTCTAGCACTTATTTCCGCCTTGTGCACCTCTAATATGGACTCCAGCACTTTGAGAATGGCTCTTATCCCTTCATTATAGAGTCCTGTGTTAGTTCTCCCTGCTCTTATTTTGATCTTCTTTGTAAATGTCTCTTAGCACTTCATACTTTGAGCATGACTGATTGACTCTCATTACTACAGAACCAGTCTTGACTGTCAGACTCTTGTATCTGGGGCACTACAGACAATATTCCTCCTGGACTGTCTCCTCTGTTCCTAAGCTCTCCCTTAAGTCTCTCGTAACCCCGTAGCTTACATTTAGAATGAGGGTAACGAGTCTTCTCTGTAGAACTGTAGATGTAAGTTATCTGAAGACTGTAAAACCCGCAGAGTAAGGCGGAAGCTCTGAGGCTCACACTCACGTCCACAACAGATAACGGCGTTTTATTTTATTCACTCGTTTTGATTTGTTGTTCTATCTGTTGGACTCTAATACGTCATAGTAGTTTTGAGTAAGGGAGTCATTTTCAAAAGGCGGCGGCAAGCCGAGAAGATAATAGCTTCTCAAATTCAAATGTATAATGTCTTGCACACGTGAAAGATGTCTCGTAGTGGCAGCGCTTCGTCACACTCGGGGTAATTACAAGATGATGAAGCAGGAGAGAACCATGTGAGCGAGGAAGGATAATTCCCCGTAGCAGCGACCAAGAATTACTTGCAGGGCGCGTCTTGTGTGTGTGTGTCCACGCCACACCGCTACAACACTCCTCTATGTGTGTCAGAACAGGTGGGTCATCCCGATCGAGGGTTGGCCATCTTGGCGTGCGGGTTGAACGCTTCTGGCTAGGTTTTCGTTCCTCACCTCATTTGGAGCTCATCTTTGAACTCGGCTGGCTTCTTTGAGCCAGTGTGTGCTCACTGCAGTTACCCAGGGACTCCCAGCACCGGGGAAGGCCGGAGCCTCCCTAATGGACGCCTCCCCGAGCGGGGGCGTCATGAACGTTGACAGCAAGTCCCAGAGAGAAAAACGTCTGTTGGAAAATGAGTCGGCTGATGCTGTCCCAGAGCAAGATGCTACGAGGATGTCTTTGCCTTCAGAAGACCTTCCTCTTGTGGTATCTCATTCCTTGTTTGTGGTTGTCCTAATCCGGTCAGCAACAGGACAGTGTGTGTTTGCGAATCCTCGTACCTTAAGTGCAGCAGTTGAGGCTTCGGTATTTTGGCCACATTGTCTGCCTGAGACCGTGCATACCCTGGATAGGGGTGCAGCACTGAAGCTACACATTAGAAAGGAGGCTCTATCGCACGTCTGTGTATCCGACATTATTAAGTTGGGGGACTGGCCTGTCAGGTGCCGACAGGTATTGTCGCAGGAGGAAGAGTCTCGGTCGGGCCGGTATGGGAAGATTGGCCCAATTGACCCGAGTGTTGAAGGGGTTGACATCCAGGCCGCTCTGCAGGTGTTAGGGCGGTGCATCAGCGGGATTATTAGAAGTTACCAGGATTCGTGGAGCAGCAGGGCCGACATCCATGGTCCATGTAAAGTTCGATGGGCCCCTCCCTGACTGGGTGGCACTACTCAGGCCCTCGTATCAGGTTCAGCCTTACAACTTTCCTGTGTTACGATGCTATGCTTGTCATCTATTGGGCCACAGTCGCCTCACCTGCCATAATGCACCACGCTGTGTAAACTGTGGTAAAACAGGCCATACAGACAGAGATAACGGTGGGTGCTCTGCTGCACCTAGCTGCCTATTATGCCATGGCCATCACAAGGTTACGTCCAAGAGTTCCCCGGTATATCTTGAGGCCCTCCAGTTGGATATCGATCATATAGTGGTGTCCAACCCAAGACGATACAGTGGAACACCTTCTTCTTCACTGCCCTCGATTTCATAGCGCTCGCGTCAGACTGCAGAGTGCCGTTCGTAGATTGAATATTCCCCGCCACACAGTTCCCGTTCTCCTTGACGGGGCAGGTGTGAGAGACGAAGACGTCCGTTATGACATCCTTCGTCATACCTTCCACTTCATCCGTCATGTCCGTGGCCTGAAGAGACTGTAAAGTATGTGGTCTGAGGAGATTTTAGGGTCTGTGGCCTGAAGAGACTGTAGGGACCCCATCCCTCTGCTATTTCCCGGTATCGGGCAGCTGGGGCACATCCGATCCCTTGATCGTTGTCGTCCCGAAAACAGCAACAACAACACTCGTGTGTGTGTCTGCACCACACCACTACGATACTCGTCTATGGAGAAGCAACATGGACAGCTCTACGCCTCACTCACACACGATATCAACCACACATCTTAAAGTTAGTGAAGGCAGTGGACTGAAGCCACGAAAAACATGTGTGCAATACCAGGCTGTAAATGTCTGTACACTAAGGACAACAATTGTATAGGAAAGTTTACCCTTGAGCACCACACAGCTCAGTGTACCGTGGCGGCGGGTTCCTGTGAAATGAAGACAACCGATGAGCCTCATTAAATGATGGAAATCTTTGGTGGTGGTGCCAGTATCTTTCTGAAATATGGCTAGCTGTTGTTACCGACTTTTGACTAACTCTAAGAATCGAGCAGCGTCATAGAGGTACATGGCTGTTATGTTATGGCATTATCACTCGAGAACTGGTCCAGTGTTACCAAATGCGATTCTCTGACCTTCCGGGTGACACCATGCTCTGTGTTGGGTGACACAATGGTGTACTGGATTACGGGTGACATGACGTGTGATAGGTTATGGGTGACTACGGTTTGTGGAGGATAACACCAGGGTGTGTGATGGGCGAGGGCCTGAGGTGTGGTAGTGACACACTGTGTGGGGTGGCAGACGGCCCACTGCGACGTCGGTCAGTCACTGCCACTGCTCGACACCAGACAACCTCGTTGACTATTTGACTACCTGCAACATTCACTAACAAACCACAAGGGATGTTTGTGTGTGTGTAAGTGCGTGTGTGTGTGTCTGTGTGAAGATGAGTGAATGCTTGCAAGCGTTGCCCTGGAGGAGCAGTATAAGTAAGGAGAGTGCCCCCCACTGCCCCCACAGTAGCCAGCATGCAGCCCTTGGGCGACGGTCCTGTGGACGGCTCGTCCTGGGATCCCCAACACCGGCCGGCCGCCTTCAACGGTTCCTTCGGGCGAGAGTTTGCCCCCGTGGATGCGTCGACGGTGCGACCTGACCTGGGGCCTGGGCTGGCCTATAACGCCCCCACCCGGCCGCCCCTGGCCGGACCCTACGCCTTCTCCTACCTACCGCCGCCCCCAGACAGCCGCCCGCGAGTCTACCTCAACCAAGCAGTCCCTCCAACCTGGCTCTTCCGTGATGCACAGACCACGTGTGTATCCCCCCTTCTCCTGTATCGCTGTCTCCCCTTGGCAGCTTTTCCCTCGCCTCCCTTTCCCTCTCATTAGGGCCCACACATGTATTTGTCAATTACATCTGCAGAGGGCGACTATGGGCTGTGTCCTCTAGTGGAGCCTACTGACAGCTGGAGTACCAGCTGACCTTTGTCAGGATTATGAACGCGTCGTGGCAGTCATCTTCCGTCAGCATAATCAGTTTCAACACTGTCTATAGTATTTAAATATTTAATGTAAACTAATGAACTTGCAAGAGTATTTTACCCACTTACGTAAATATGCCCTCTGAGATAAATATACACCATATTAATTCTTAAAATTCATGATATCAAGGCCAAATGAATGATACCCTCGTGTAATAGGTTGCATTGATCTAACTCGGTGCAGCCGTGTTCACTCGATCCCTCCATGTGCTGAACCTTTGCTGGGATAAACTGGCCATTGTTTGGGATAAGGTTGTTGAAAGCGGACACATACTAAGTGTGTGGTTGGCGACAGGTTCAACGGTGTGGTGACCCTGCGGGAGAAGGCTCCGGACGCTATCACCTCGTACGTCATCTCCGCCTTCGCCATCGACGACTTCTTCGGCCTGGGCGTCACCAAGCAGCCGTCCAAGGTGAGTGCCGCCCCTGGTCCCCGCTGGGCACAATACCCAAGAGCTACGCTAAATCAACGTTGAATTAGCGTAGCTGATTCAAAGTCGAACTAACACTGCTCTTAGATATTGTGCCACTGGTGGGGAGGCTCGGATTATTTACCCCTGGCCCACCTGCTCAGGGGAACCCCTGGCCCACCTGCTTAGGGGAACCCCTGGCCCACCTGCTTAGGGGAACCCCTGGCCCACCTGCTTAGGGGAACCCCTGGCCCACCTGCTTAGGTGTACCCCTGGCCCACCTGCTTAGGTGTACCCCTGGCCCACCTGCTCAGGGGAACCCCTGGCCCACCTGCTCAGGGGAACCCCTGGCCCACCTGCTCAGGGGAACCCCTGGCCCACCTGCTCAGGGGAACCCCTGGCCCACCTGCTCAGAAGTCCCCCTGAGCATGTTTGACCACTATTTAACATTGGTGAAGGGTTGTGTGTGTGACTCGCTATAATACTTAAGAGTAGATAATTGAGCCCCTAAGCCCCTGCTAAGCTAAGTCAGATGTAAAAGCTGACTGCGTGTTGCCTCAGTGTGTCGCCTGACCTTCCATCTTCCTTGGTCATATTGAGGACTCTTGCAGCGAGCGACCACGGGAGACATCTCCCGTCACGCAGGGTGCAGCCGCACCTCCACAGATCTCCAGTATCAGCTCTTGATACTGGTAATGGCTCCAAAGGGCCACCACTTACGGGCTATTCATGCCCGTGCCACCTTTTGGGTGGCTTAATCTTCATCAATCATCAATCAGCGAGCGACACTTGTTTTAACTTCCCCCATTTGTATTTTCGGCTTCTTTGTTTTTCCTCTTCTTCCATCACTAACTTTTGGGTTATTACGTGTGCACTCTGTATCATTATTCCCGCTTACCCCCTCCACTATTCTCCCAACACCTGTAACCGGCCGTTACCTTGGTCCACTACAGCTGCAGGTGTTCCGACCATTCTTCACGTCGGTGCACCTGCCGGAGGCCGGGGTGGTGCGGGGGGAAGCTGTGGCAGTGGAGATGGTCGTCTTCAACTATGGCGACGAAGACCTCACCGCCGACGTCACTCTCGACAACGCTAAAGGGGACTTCATCTTCGCTGACTTCGCCAATGAGATCGACCAGGGTTGTGAGTATACACTGTCAGTGTACCGGAGGTGTTCAATGAAAATATATTTACTTGTCTACACAGTGATTGGGAGTTGCGCTTTTGTACCACATCACACACATGTGTACCATCATATAGCATACATGTATACCATGATATAACACTTGTGAGAAGCTTAGCGTATAGAAGCACCTAGTGACGCGAGCTCGTCCACAGCACCGTCAGGGCGCAAGCAGCGAGAGGTGAAGGTGGCGGCTGGTAGCGGGGTACCCGTGAGCTTCATGGTGGTGCCGCAGACGCTGGGCAACATTGACATCACCGTCACCGCCACAGCTGGTCCAAACGTTGACGTCGTCACTAAGAAGCTCCTCGTCAAGGTGGCCTCATCCTTCTCTTATCTCTTGCGTCATATCGATGTTCAGTTCCATGTTCTCTCCACGAACAGTGACTTATTCGTATTGGCTTCTCAACTGGTTTAACCTTGTATATAAATGTCAATATTGTTCGTGGCTACAACACCCGCACTGGTGCCTTTGATCACTACTCATCCCCTCCCTCCTCATGCCCACAGCCTGAAGGAACAAGGATAACGGTGAACAAAGCGGTTCTTGTGGACCTGCGCTCGGAGCCCACCTTCAGCACCACCATCAACGTCACCACCCCACGTAACATCGTCAACGGCTCCCGCCACGTCGCCGTCTCCGTCATTGGTAAGGTCTTCCCATCACAACCCATCACAGTGCACAGTTACAAACCCATTAAGATTTCAACTTAGATTCAACAGAGCAGAAGAAGTTGTTAAACACATGGGGACAATATCTTACTAAAGCGACCATACGAGTCATAAATACTCATACTCCGCCCAAGTAAAACAGAAACACACAACACTTAGTGGGCCAGCCAGAGGCTTAGGGCCCGCGCAGTGGGCCCAGCCAGAGGCTTAGGGCCCGCGCAGTGGGGCCAGCCAGAGGCTTAGGGCCCGCGCAGGAATATCCCTGCAAAGCAAAAAAAATCATTAGATGTGGCTCGTCCATGCCCCCCCCAAGGAAGCACTCAGCAATTTTATCGTACTCTGTATTCAACATTAGTATTTCTTATATATAAATTACTAATATATATTAGAATTTTGTGTATTAATAGTCTTAGGTTAGAGTAGGCGTTTAGGTTTTGTTGGCAGTCATTAGTTTGTTTCAGTACGTTGGGCGAGTGACTTATTAGAGGTGCGATTCGAACACAAGAAGAGTATGGCGTAGGTCAAGGAAATTTCGAACGTAACCAGTCATGTACCAATTGTTTTTCTACTTGTAAAGAGGCAGGTTTGGCGCCGGAATTAAGGCGGGTTTGGCGCTGGGATTAAGGCGGGTTTGGCGCTGGGATTAAGGCGGGTTTGGCGCTGGGATTAAGGCGGGTTTGGCGCCGGGATTAAGGCGGGTTTGGCGCCGGAATTAAGGCGGGTTTGGCGCTGGGATTAAGGCGGGTTTGGCGCTGGGATTAAGGCGGGTTTGGCGCTGGGATTAAGGCGGGTTTGGCGCTGGGATTAAGGCAGGTTTGGCGCCGGGATTAAGGCGGGTTTGGCGCCGGGATTAAGGCGGGTTTGGCTCCGGGATTAAGGCAGGTTTGGCGCCGGGATTAAGGCGGGTTTGGCGCCGGGATTAAGGCGGGTTTGGCGCCGGGATTAAGGCGGGTTTGGCGCTGGGATTAAGGCAGGTTTGGCGCCGGGATTAAGGCGGGTTTGGCTCCGGGATTAAGGCAGGTTTGGCGCCGGGATTAAGGCGGGTTTGGCGCCTTGATTAAGGCGGGTTTGGCTCCGGGATTAAGGCGGGTTTGGCGCCGGGATTAAGGCGGGTTTGGCGCCGGGATTAAGGCAGGTTTGGCGCCGGGATTAAGGCAGGTTTGGCGCCGGGATTAAGGCGGGTTTGGCTCCGGGATTAAGGCGGGTTTGGCTCCGGGATTAAGGCAGGTTTGGCTCCGGGATTAAGGCGGGTTTGGCTCCGGGATTAAGGCAGGTTTGGCTCCGGGATTAAGGCAGGTTTGGCGCCGGGATTAAGGCAGGTTTGGCGCCGGGATTAAGGCGGGTTTGGCTCCGGGATTAAGGCAGGTTTGGCTCCGGGATTAAGGCAGGTTTGGCGCCGGGATTAAGGCAGGTTTGGCTCCGGGATTAAGGCAGGTTTGGCGCCGGGATTAAGGCAGGTTTGGCGCCGGGATTAAGGCGGGTTTGGCGCCGGGATTAAGGCGGGTTTGGCGCCGGGATTAAGGCGGGTTTGGCGCCGGAATTAAGGCGGGTTTGGCTCCGGGATTAAGGCAGGTTTGGCGCCGGGATTAAGGCGGGTTTGGCGCCGGAATTAAGGCGGGTTTGGCGCCGGAATTAAGGCGGGTTTGGCGCCGGGATTAAGGCGGGTTTGGCGCCGGGATTAAGGCGGGTTTGGCTCCGGGATTAAGGCGGGTTTGGCTCCGGGATTAAGGCGGGTTTGGCGCCGGGATTAAGGCGGGTTTGGCGCCGGGATTAAGGCGGGTTTGGCGCCGGGATTAAGGCGGGTTTGGCGCCGGGATTAAGGCGGGTTTGGCGCCGGGATTAAGGCGGGTTTGGCGCCGGGATTAAGGCGGGTTTGGCTCCGGGATTAAGGCGGGTTTGGCGCCGGGATTAAGGCGGGTTTGGCGCCGGGATTAAGGCGGGTTTGGCTCCGGGATTAAGGCGGGTTTGGCGCCGGGATTAAGGCGGGTTTGGCGCCGGGATTAAGGCGGGTTTGGCGCCGGGATTAAGGCGGGTTTGGCGCCGGGATTAAGGCGGGTTTGGCGCCGGGATTAAGGCGGGTTTGGCGCCGGGATTAAGGCGGGTTTGGCGCCGGGATTAACGAGCATTTAACCATTGTTTGTGAACACTGACGTCTTCCGTGCCTAAATTTAAAATTAAAAAAAATCCTACTTGCTCTTCGTCACGCTGTATGGCCAAAAAAACAAACAAACTGTTGTGTGATGCAGTGCGCTCTCTATCGTAACATTACCTAGCATGTGCTATGCCTTATGTTCTACCAGAGTTACACATATATAGTTATTGTTATGCAAAAGTTACGTATAAAAATAGTCATTTTTATATTCATAAATACTGGAATATAAAACATAGCAAATACTTATTGCAGCTTGGTAAACGAATGACATTTATATTGCAGAGTGAAGCATTAAGGTAAGTGGGTAAAGATAGATAGAGAATATATATATATATATATATATATATATATATATATATATATATATATATATATATATATATATATATATATATTATATATATATAATATGTGTGTGTGTGTGTAAAATAATAATAAACTAATGCTAATATTTATGAATGTGAATAGTGTGTACTGGTGGTCATCTGATCTATTTCTTTATAGCAAGGTGTATCTTTACTATGTCTTTTCTGGGCGACTTGAATTGCATCTACAGGTCAGACGTGGCCTAAATTTCTAGTGGAATGGAAACATGTAGTGGATGTTATTAGACCTGACCTCCCCCGACGCCCCTAATGTGTGTGTTGATCTCTGTAGGGGACGTGTTGGGCCCGGCGGTGACGGACCTCCACAACCTGCTGGAGCTGCCGACGGGCTGCGGGGAGCAGAACATGGCCAAGCTTGTCCCCAATATTGTCCTCATGGAGTACCTCAAGGTATGACGGGTCGTTACGACATTTTCTATGACATGAACTGAACACGAGTCGTGAAAGAAGTTATCAGGGGGGAAAAGAGCCAAGCCATTACGACTATATAGCACTTGGACGGGATCAGGAGTTGGGATGGGACGGGGGAAAGGAATGGTGCCCAACCACTGGGACAGTCGGGGATTGAACGCCGACTTGCATGCCGCGAGACCTTCGTTCTGTCGTCCAGCCCCAGTGGTTGGGTACAGGAGTCTTGAGTTTTCTGCAACATCACTTTAAGAACAGTCCTTGACTGACTCCTTTACATACACGCGTGTGTCCGTGTCTATGCCCAGCACATTTAATTTGTTAATATAACTGGCTATTTTACATTCATGCATCTACCTAATGATAGTACATTTGAACCAGATTCACGCACACTGCCTCTTTGAACCAGACTGACGCACACTGCCTCTTTGAACCAGACTGACGCACACTGCCTCTTTGAACCAGACTGACGCACACTGCCTCTTTGAACCAGATTGACGCACACTGCCTCTTTGAACCAGACTGACGCACACTGCCTCTTTGAACCAGATTGACGCACACTGCCTCTTTGAACCAGACTGACGCACACTGCCTCTTTGAACCAGACTGACGCACACTGCCTCTTTGAACCAGACTGACGCACACTGCCTCTTTGAACTTGATCGACTACTCTACTTGTTGAGCGATATAATACACAAGTACCATACACACACACAAGCTTCCCTCGGCCTCATGACCTTGATGAACCACATTACACCAGCAGGAGACACTCCACATGACGCCAGCAGGAGGCACTCCACATGACGCCAGCAGGAGGCACTCCACATTACACCAGCAGGAGGCACTCCACATTACACCAGCAGGAGGCACTCCACATTACACCAGCAGGAGGCACTCTACATTACACCAGCAGGAGACACTCCACATTACACCAGCAGGAGGCACTCCACATTACACCAGCAGGAGGCACTCTACATTACACCAGCAGGAGGCACTCCACATTACACCAGCAGGAGACACTCCACATTACACCAGCAGGAGACACTCCACATTACACCAGCAGGAGACACTCTACATTACACCAGCAGGAGACACTCTACATTACACCAGCAGGAGGCACTCCACATTACACCAGCAGGAGGCACTCCACATTACACCAGCAGGAGGCACTCCACATTACACCAGCAGGAGGCACTCCACATTACACCAGCAGGAGGCACTCCACATTACACCAGCAGGAGACACTCTACATTACACCAGCAGGAGACACTCTACATTACACCAGCAGGAGGCACTCCACATTACACCAGCAGGAGGCACTCTACATGACTAACTTCCTGACTAACTTACATCTCTTTGCTTTCCCAGAATAAGAACCAATTGAGCGAGGCACTACAAGGGCGGGCCAGGCGCCACCTGGAGACAGGCTACCAGCAGCAACTCAACTACAAGCGTGACGACGGTTCCTTCAGCGCTTTTGGCAGTAGAGATGACTCTGGAAGCACATGGTGAGTTACTGTGACATGCGGTTGAATAGGTGTGTGTGTGTCTGACGTGAAGATTACAGTCTGTGGTGGGTAATGATAACATTTGGTAATTGGATCGTGGTGATAATTGGATCGATTTGTGTTATTTAATCACAGTAATTAGCTATTTTTGTAGCGTTGACAAGATCCAACAACTGTTACATTTACCTATAGGTTGACGGCCTTCGTGATCAAGTCCCTGGTGGAGGCCGGGCGGCACATCGATGTGGAGGAGGCAGTGGTGAAGGCTGCCATAGACTGGCTGATAAAGCAGCAGGCGGCGGATGGCTCCTTCCCCGAGGTGGGCACCGTCAACAATGAGGCCATGCAGGGAGGAACTTCCAGAGGCATCCCTCTTACTGCCTACGTCGTTATTGCTCTTCTCACAGCCCAGGTAATGTGTAGTAATATGAGGATTCGAACCTATAGCGCTGGGTGTTCCTAAATGCTTTATACCCACGACGGCTCCTGTGAATATACTCATTGATATATAGCGATAATGTGATTTCTCTCTGTATATTGTGAATATACAGAGAATATATATCTTCTCTGTATAGTGGTTACAGCAGGTTGGAACACTTCCAGTTGTCGTAGGTTTGCATGACTCCAGACATGAGTAGTAGTAGTAGTAGTAGTATGATGATGATGATGAGTATGAGTGGTGATACAGTAGACATTAACATTAACGTAATGTACACTGGTAACAGCGCCCCGCCACAGCCAAGGTGCGCAGCGTCACCAGCCGAGCGCTGGAGTTCCTGGGCTCCAGTCTGGACACCATGGACGACTTCTACAGCCTGGCCATCACCACCTACGCTCTCCACCTGGCCGATAACCCGCTCAGGGACGCCGCCTTCTACAAGCTCGAAGGGAAGGCCAAGGTTGAAAGTAAGCATTTTGATCAACTTTTGAACAAGTTCGAGGAAGCTGGTGTTTATGGTGACGTTAAGTAAAGAAGCCAAGATCAAGTTTGTTTTAAGATTTGTTAATTCACCTCTGAATGTTGGTTAATTATTGACCTGATGGACTAACACGACGGGTTGATTCCCCACAACACAAGATGTAGTGGTAAGACACTCGCCTGGCGTTCCGCGAGCGCTATGTCATGGGTTCGTATCCTGGCCGGGGAGGATTTACTGGGCGCAATTCCTTAACTGTAGCCTCTGTTTAACGCAACAGTAAAATGTGTACTTGGATGAAAAAACGATTCTTCGCGGCAGGGGATCGTATTCCAGGGACCATAGGATTAAGGACTTGCCCGAAACGCTACGCGTACTAGTGGCTCTACAAGAATGTAACAACTCTTGTATATATCTCAAAAGATCACGTGTTTGTCAAGGCAAACACGTGTTCTTGGATAATACACCATTAGATGATGTAGCTTATTTAGCAAGTATAAACAATAATCAGCAATAGCTCTTAAAAGTATAGCTTCTTTCTAGCTTTCAAGTGTAAAGCTTAAGCCTGGCTTTATATTGCAACATCAATAATGTGAAAGTTTAAGTCTTACATCCAGCATGTTCGTTGATCATGTTGCTGCTGCAAGGACTCTCTCTCCAGTCTTCATCATCATGACTTGTTTCCTCTGCCATAAATGTGTTGCCCTCCCTCGTCACCCTCCTACACTCTCTCGTTGCCCTCCCTCGTCACCCTCCTACACTCTCTCGTTGCCCTCCCTCGTCACCCTCCTACACTCTCTCGTTGCCCTCCCTCGTCACCCTCCTACACTCTCTCGTTGCCCTCCCTCGTCACCCTCCTACACTCTCTCGTTGCCCTCCCTCGTCACCCTCCTACACTCTCTCGTTGCCCTCCCTCGTCACCCTCCTACACTCTCTCGGTCATCGCCGTCTGAAACCTGATTACAAAACAAAAACTTTATTTACATTCTCTAGAAAGACGAAGAGTGAAGAGTGACATACCTGAAATATACAGATGGGAGATTTAGATAAGGTTTTCAATCTATTAACACAAAATCTAATACGATACAGTATACTGTATATAAATTAGACAAGTTTAAATTCAGGAAAGACCTAGGTAGATACTAGATAGGAAATACGATTGTTGATTTATGGAATGAATTTCTGGGCAAAATAATAATATTAAGAGGTCGTGCTCCTGCTCCTGACCTCCATGCTCCAAGCACCGGGGGTAGACACATACAGTGCCAGCAACGTGACCATTTGTGAGGTTACTGCAAGCCGTCTTGTTAAGCTTAAATGTCTCGCTTACTACTCCCCATACACATTATCTTTGTATCTACACAGCTGATGACCTTATTTGTGATGTCACCAACCATATCAAGGATGTAGTGTACAAATGGTGTGATCCCTTAAATGGATACCCTGTGTACTCGCCTCTCCACTTTCGTACAGTCACATTCTATTCCGTTTAGGAGGACTTGCCGCTTAATTATAGCTATTGGATCAATATCAGTAAACAGACACCCAGCCAATCAGCCACACCTTAACATCACCAACCTTGCCATCAGAGCACCATAAATATACTCCCTCTTTACTCTCTCACTAGCTTTCACTCATCATCAGAGCACCATAAATATACTCCCTCTTTACTCTCTCACTAGCTTTCACTCATCATCAGAGCACCATAAATATACTCCCTCTTTACTCTCTCACTAGCTTTCACTCATCATCAGAGCACCATCAATATACTCCCTCTTTACTCTCTCACTAGCTTTCACTCATCATCAGAGCACCATAAATATACTCCCTCTTTACTCTCTCACTAGCTTTCACTCATCATCAGAGCACCATAAATATACTCCCTCTTTACTCTCTCACTAGCTTTCACTCATCATCAGAGCACCATAAATATACTCCCTCTTTACTCTCTCACTAGCTTTCACTCATCATCAGAGCACCATAAATATACTCCCTCTTTACTCTCTCACTAGCTTTCACTCATCATCAGAGCACCATAAATATACTCCCTCTTTACTCTCTCACTAGCTTTCACTCATCATCAGAGCACCATAAATATACTCCCTCTTTACTCTCTCACTAGCTTTCACTCATCATCAGAGCACCATAAATATTCTCCCTCTTTACTCTCTCACTAGCTTTCACTCATCATCAGAGCACCATAAATATACTCCCTCTTTACTCTCTCACTAGCTTTCACTCATCATCAGAGCACCATAAATATTCTCCCTCTTTACTCTCTCACTAGCTTTCACTCATCATCTTCTTTAATACTAATAATAATAATATTCAGAAGAAGGTACAATGGGTATGTGAGATTACATAACATTGATATTTCTACATTCTTGCACAGCCACAAACACGCATAGTGTTTCAGGCAGTCCTTCATTATCATCATCTACCCCGTTCATAGACCTACAGTGTTTGGTAATTAGTCCAAAACACAAATGAGCATCAGAAAGCAAGTAATTAATTGATGTTGCAATATAAAGCCAGGCTTAAGCTTTACACTTGAAAGCTAGAAAGAAGCCATACTTTTAAGAGCTATTGCTGATTATTGTTTATACTTGCTAAATAAGCTACATCATCTAATGGTGTATTATCCAAGAACACGTGTTTGCCTTGACAAACATGTGATCTTGTGTTGTGGGGAATCAACCCGTCGTGTTAGTGCGAGGCACTGCCTGGTATGGACCAATAGAGCTTCTACAGCTTCCTTCCTGTGTGTGTATCAGAGAAGGAGAAGTGGTGGGAGTCTGGGGAGATGAGAAGGACGCAGGAGACGGCGGTCGAGTCTCGGCCCCTGGACGTGGAAGCCACCAGCTATGCTCTCCTCACGTATGTTCACCGTGGTCTCACCCGAGACGCCTTCCCCATTATGAACTGGCTCGTCAGGCAACGCAACCAGTACGGTGGCTTCCAGTCTACACAGGTAACTACTTTATCATGAAACACCATTCCCCTCGGGTACAGCTACACCAAGATTCCTCTTGGGTACAGTTACATCACTCCCCCCCCCCTCCCTTGGGAACAGCTACATCAAGATCTCCCTTTGGTACAACTACGTCAGTCCACCCCTTGGATACAGTTGGATCAGTCCCTCCTTGGGTACAGCTACATAAAGACCCCCTTGGGTACAGTTACATCAGTCCCCCCATGGGTACAGCTAAATCAATACCCCCTTTGGGTACAGTTACAGTCTAAAGGTAACACTAGGCCCTAGAGCAGACAGCAATCCATGCATGTAAGACCAGTTACAAAAGACTGGTATATGCACTAACATGTTGAGCTGAGGGTGTAAAGCACAATACGTGTTGCAGGACACGGTGGTGGGCATGGCGGGGCTGGCGGCGCTGGCAGGCAAGCTCTCCACAACTGATCCACAGGTCAACATTCGCCTCATCTATGGTGCTCGCGGCAAGAACATCCAGGTCACCAGGTCCAACATCATGCTCCTCCAGCGTATTGAGGTCAGTCTCAGGCACCCACAGCCACCACAATGTATTATTACAAGGAGAATAATTAGGAGCACTAAATTTAAAACCGTCTTTCATTATTTTTACTAAAACATTGCTAAATGAAGGCAGTAGCCAACACCCGGCAACATTCACATCTATAAACCTGACTAAACGGGTGAATGACATCTATTCCTCAATTACTTTACAAGTGCGCAAGATTGATAACTATAGTGATTCACTAAGCATGCCGGTATGACTACACCACTAAGCATGCCGGTATGACTACACCACTAAGCATGCCGGTATGACTACACCACTAAGCATGCCGGTATGACTACACCACTAAGCATGCCGGTATGACTACACCACTAAACATGCCGGTATGACTACACCACTAAGCATGCCGGTATGACTACACCACTAACCATGCCAGTATGACTACACCACTAACCATGCCAGTATGACTACACCACTAACCATGCCAGTATGACTACACCACTAACCATGCCAGTATGACTACACCACTAACCATGCCAGTATGACTACACCACTAAGCATGCCGGTATGACTACACCACTAACCATGCCAGTATGACTACACCACTAACCATGCCGGTATGACTACACCACTAACCATGCCGGTATGCCTACACCACTAACCATGCCAGTATGACTACACCACTAAGCATGCCAGTATGACTACACCACTAACCATGCCAGTATGACTACACCACTAAGCATGCCAGTATGACTACACCACTAACCATGCCAGTATGACTACACCACTAACCATGCCAGTATGACTACACCACTAAGCATGCCAGTATGACTACACCACTAACCATGCCAGTATGACTACACCACTAAGCATGCCAGTATGACTACACCACTAACCATGCCAGTATGACTACACCACTAAGCATGCCAGTATGACTACACCACTAACCATGCCGGTATGACTACACCACTAACCATGCCAGTATGACTACACCACTAAGCATGCCAGTATGACTACACCACTAACCATGCCAGTATGACTACACCACTAACCATGCCAGTATGACTACACCACTAACCATGCCAGTATGACTACACCACTAACCATGCCAGTATGACTACACCACTAACCATGCCAGTATGACTACACCACTAACCATGCCAGTATGACTACACCACTAACCATGCCAGTATGACTACACCACTAACCATGCCAGTATGACTACACCACTAACCATGCCAGTATGACTACACCACTAACCATGCCAGTATGACTACACCACTAACCATGCCAGTATGACTACACCACTAACCATGCCGGTATGACTACACCACTAACCATGCCGGTATGACTACACCACTAACCATGCCAGTATGACTACACCACTAACCATGCCAGTATGACTACACCACTAACCATGCCAGTATGACTACACCACTAAGCATGCCGGTATGACTACACCACTAAGCATGCCGGTATGACTACACCACTAAGCATGCCAGTATGACTACACCACTAACCATGCCGGTATGACTACACCACTAAGCATGCCGGTATGACTACACCACTAAACATGCCGGTATGACTACACCACTAAACATGCCGGTATGACTACACCACTAAGCATGCCAGTATGACTACACCACTAAACATGCCGGTATGACTACACCACTAACCATGACTGTATGCCTGCAGCTGGCGAGCGACACAGAGAAGGTGGAGGTGACAGCGTCAGGAGCCGGGGTGGCAGTGCTGCAGGTGACCTACCACTACAACGTCAGAGTGACGGGGCCCAAGCCAGCCTTCTCCCTCGACCCTCAGCTCGACGTCACCACCGACGCCAACCGCCTCAGACTCACCACTTGTACCGGGTCAGTTTTCCCTTCATTCATATCTCGCAGCTGTATCTTCACTCACTACAACCCGTTGCAACCCGTTCTCGCAAATTCGTATAGTCAATATTGACTTATTAACTACGTGCATAGGTGATATACTAAACATAATAGATACCCTTAAAAAGCTCCATAGAAAACGCCGACCTTACCTAACCTTGTTAGTATCTTAAGATAAGCATCTTATTGCTTCGTAATTACAATTATTACTTAACCTATGCCTATAATAGGTTAAGTAACAATTGTAATTACGAAGCTACGTTTTGCCCGAAACGCATTGCGTAATAGTGGCTTTAGGCATTGTATGTACTAGCTCTATCTATATATCAATCCATTAATGTAACATCACTTGTATGTATATACCTTACCTGAATAAACATCTGAATCTGAATCTGATCTGCTATAAGATGCTTATCTTAAGATACTAACAAGGTTAGGTAAGGTCGGTGTTTTCTATGAAGCTTTTTAAGGGTATCTATTATGTTTAGTATATCACCTATGCACGTAGTTAATAAGTCAATATCCCATACAACAGGTTTATACTAGAGAGTTGAATCATACCATTCAACCAGCCATTGACAGTTCATTTTATAAATGTATTAAGATGGAAACAGATAAAAGGCACAAACATTATTTATATTAAGGAATACTATGTATTATACACATGAGACATTATTAGTGAAGTTATGGTTTATGCATGATCTAGGACTGCTAGTTTCATCACAACTAAAGTAGAGGTATTTATTCAGACAAGGATCTGGTTGTAAACCAATTAGCATATCGTGTTACAGGGAAAACCAGCAGGCTAAGGCTTCAGGTAAGTTGTGAGAAGGGAGATCTCCAAGACAGGAAACCGGTAGTTTGTCAGATGGCCCCCCACCAATTTTTCCAATGATTTTTTCAAGCTAAATTTTAAACTGAAGTACAGTATGTTTCGGCAATGGCGGGTAGACGATTCCATGGATTTTTTTTTTTGTTGTTTTTTTTTTGAGATATACAAGAGTTGTTACATTCTTGTACAGCCACTAGTACGCGTAGCGTTTCGGGCAAGTCCTTAATCCTATGGTCCCTGGAATACGATCCCCTGCCGCGAAGAATCGTTTTTTCATCCAAGTACACATTTTACTGTTGCGTTAAACAGAGGCTACAGTTAAGGAATTGCGCCCAGTAAATCCTCCCCGGCCAGGATACGAACCCATGACATAGCGCTCGCGGAACGCCAGGCGAGTGTCTTACCACTACACCACGGAGACTGCTTGTTAGTCTTTGGTGAAAAGTATCTCTTGTCCTGCACTGTAGCTTGTTAAGCTTGATGCTGTCGCCCCTTGTGCCACTTACATTGGGTCTTTCGATGAAGTGGTCTGGATTAATATCTTCCAATTAAGTCTATAGATAACTAGTAAGCTTGAGTGGGATCGTGAGAAGCCACCAAAACAAAGTTACACAAACACCACTTTAAACATTATTTTAAGTTTACAATGTGTCGACTTTCCGCTCCTCTGGTGGTAATATGAGGTCGACTTCTTTATTGCAGATATATTGCAGGGAACATGAGCAACATGGCCGTCATGGATGTGTCGTTGCCCTCTGGTTATATTGTGGATAATGACCTTATTCCTGGTAAGTCAATAGTCCCCGATTCTATTATAGTTGTGGAGTGTGTTCTCTGCTCCTTCATATCCAGCACATGGCCTTGTTATCAGGCCTTGTTATCAGCCTCACACAGTTGGTCACAGAGCTCTGTGTATAAGCTTTATTATCCAGATCGTTCATGCAATTTCTTTTTTGTTTTGAATGGCACGAAGACGGAAAGCACATGATTATTGAATGTTTATTGATGGGAAGTTTTGTTAGTAAAGTGCAATTAAGTATCGATAAATTCTGTTTGGCTTTATATACAGTGCCGTTAAAAAATATATAAGTGCAAGACTTGACTGTTGTAGATATGAAGAGTGTATGTTATGTGGTGTGTAATAGACATACATGTCCGGCAGGTCTGTACGACTACACCGGGGTGAAGCTGGTGGAGAAGAAGGCGGACGACTCTGGGGTGGTGGTGTACTTCGACTACCTCACGCCAGCCGAGGTGTGCCCGACGGTCTCAGCCTACAGGATCAACAAGGTGGCCTTCCAGAAGGCTTCTGCCGTCCGTGTCTACGACTACTACGACACGTGTAAGTTGTCAAACATTACAACTCTTCTTGCTAATGTCCTTTCCCACCGTCCCATCCCAAACCCTTATCCTGACCCCTTCCCAGTGCTATATAGTCGTAATGACTTGGCGCTTTCCCCCTGATAGTTCCTTCCTTCCTTCCTTCCTTCCTTCCTTCCTTCCTTCCTTCCTTCCTTCCTTCCTTCCTTCCTTCCTTCCTTCATGCTAATGTTCTCTTCCAGTACAGTATCCAATCCTGGCGGTTATTTGGTAAGATTTTGCACCTATTGCTTTTATATCTTGATAAAACTACAGTACAGTACAAAGTAACCACAAATTATGTATATATATGAATAACTTTAAAACTTCATAGATTGTACACTTTTGGTCTTGTTTACCTTTATGGGAAAACTCGCTTTTCTTTGTTTTTCTTAAGAGTCCCACCTACTGTAGCACTTGTTACTTGAAGACTTGAACCCCGCCGCCACCTGGTGGACGGTAGAGCATCACTCACGCCGCACCACACAACTGTATGAACACAAATCAAACACTTTGAGTGATTTGAAAAGTGAAATATAACCATAATGTTGTACACGTAACATCTCTTGAAGGCAATAATTGGTAATAGCGGTATGGGTACATAGACACTCTACTGTACATATTTGCCTCCTGTTTACATATTTGCCTCCTGTTTACATATTTGCCTCCTGTTTACATATTTGCCTCCTGTTTACATATTTGCCTCCTGTTTACATATTTGCCTTCTGTTTACATATTTGCCTCCTGTTTACATATTTGCCTCCTGTTTACATATTTGCCTTCTGTTTACATATTTGCCTCCTGTTTACATATTTGCCTCCTGTTTACATATTTGCCTCCTGTTTACATAACAGTTTTTGTAGCTATGTGCACCATCATACATATATAGTTGTAATGAACAATTATATGGGAGAATTTGGTACTGTTCTCATTATAAGAAACCGGAAAAATAAAGATAAAAACCAAACTTAAATATTCCTAGGCCTAGTATAGCACATATATGTACTATATTAGGTCTCACATTGCGTGTATTAAGTCCTAGGAAGGTTAGGTTACGTTTTCTTTGCAACATTAATACAAAATCTTATTCAATAGCACCGATTTCTACTTCCTATTTGGCTTTTACGTCAATATATGTACAATGGTCCTTATTCTTACCATCAGTACTGCCTAACAAGAGAATGGGCTGGTTTTTTTTATATAATAAATTTTATTTAATTATTACGACACTCAATTTTTTATGAATCAAATGTTTTAAGCCAGTCTTTTTCTGTTAATAATTATTAAGTGAGCTTCTCTTTGATCGATGAACATAAATATAGACAGTAACCTTGTGTATTGTTGGACAGTAACCTTGTGTATTGTTGGACAGTACCCTTCTGTATTGTTGGACAGTACCCTTCTGTATTGTTGGACAGTACCCTTCTGTATTGTTGGACAGTACCCTTCTGTATTGTTGGACAGTACCCTTCTGTATTGTTGGACAGTACCCTTCTGTATTGTTGGACAGTACCCTTCTGTATTGTTGGACAGTACCCTTGTGTATTGTTGGACAGTACCCTTCTGTATTGTTGGACAGTACCCTTGTGTATTGTTGGACAGTAACCTTGTGTATTGTTGGACAGTACCCTTCTGTATTGTTGGACAGTAACCTTGTGTATTGTTGGACAGTAACCTTCTGTATTGTTGGACAGTACCCTTCTGTATTGTTGGACAGTAACCTTGTGTATTGTTGGACAGTAACCTTCTGTATTGTTGGACAGTACCCTTCTGTATTGTTGGACAGTACCCTTCTGTATTGTTGGACAGTACCCTTCTGTATTGTTGGACAGTACCCTTCTGTATTGTTGGACAGTACCCTTGTGTATTGTTGGACAGTAACCTTCTGTATTGTTGGACAGTAACCTTGTGTATTGTTGGACAGTAACCTTCTGTATTGTTGGACAGTAACCTTGTGTATTGTTGGACAGTAACCTTGTGTATTGTTGGACAGTAACCTTGTGTATTGTTGGACAGTAACCTTGTGTATTGTTGGACAGTAACCTTGTGTATTGTTGGACAGTAACCTTCTGTATTGTTGGACAGTACCCTTCTGTATTGTTGGACAGTACCCTTCTGTATTGTTGGACAGTAACCTTGTGTATTGTTGGACAGTAACCTTGTGTATTGTTGGACAGTAACCTTGTGTATTGTTGGACAGTAACCTTCTGTATTGTTGGACAGTACCCTTCTGTATTGTTGGACAGTAACCTTGTGTATTGTTGGACAGTAACCTTGTGTATTGTTGGACAGTACCCTTCTGTATTGTTGGACAGTACCCTTGTGTATTGTTGGACAGTAACCTTCTGTATTGTTGGACAGTACCCTTGTGTATTGTTGGACAGTACCCTTCTGTATTGTTGGACAGTACCCTTCTGTATTGTTGGACAGTAACCTTGTGTATTGTTGGACAGTAACCTTCTGTATTGTTGGACAGTAACCTTGTGTATTGTTGGACAGTAACCTTGTGTATTGTTGGACAGTAACCTTCTGTATTGTTGGACAGTACCCTTCTGTATTGTTGGACAGTACCCTTCTATATTGTTGGACAGTAACCTTGTGTATTGTTGGACAGTACCCTTCTATATTGTTGGACAGTAACCTTGTGTATTGTTGGACAGTACCCTTCTGTATTGTTGGACAGTAACCTTGTGTATTGTTGGACAGTAACCTTCTGTATTGTTGGACAGTACCCTTCTGTATTGTTGGACAGTACCCTTCTGTATTGTTGGACAGTAACCTTGTGTATTGTTGGACAGTACCCTTCTGTATTGTTGGACAGTAACCTTGTGTATTGTTGGACAGTACTCTTCTGTATTGTTGGACAGTACCCTTCTGTATTGTTGGACAGTACCCTTCTGTATTGTTGGACAGTACCCTTCTGTATTGTTGGACAGTAACCTTCTGTATTGTTGGACAGTAACCTTGTGTATTGTTGGACAGTAACCTTGTGTATTGTTGGACAGTAACCTTGTGTATTGTTGGACAGTAACCTTGTGTATTGTTGGACAGTACCCTTGTGTATTGTTGGACAGTACCCTTCTGTATTGTTGGACAGTACCCTTGTGTATTGTTGGACAGTACCCTTCTGTATTGTTGGACAGTACCCTTGTGTATTGTTGGACAGTAACCTTGTGTATTGTTGGACAGTAACCTTCTGTATTGTTGGACAGTACCCTTCTGTATTGTTGGACAGTAACCTTCTGTATTGTTGGACAGTAACCTTGTGTATTGTTGGACAGTACCCTTGTGTATTGTTGGACAGTACCCTTCTGTATTGTTGGACAGTAACCTTCTGTATTGTTGGACAGTAACCTTCTGTATTGTTGGACAGTACCCTTCTGTATTGTTGGACAGTAACCTTGAGTATTGTTGGACAGTAACCTTGTGTATTGTTGGACAGTACCCTTGTGTATTGTTGGACAGTACCCTTCTGTATTGTTGGACAGTAACCTTCTGTATTGTTGGACAGTACCCTTCTGTATTGTTGGACAGTACCCTTCTGTATTGTTGGACAGTACCCTTCTGTATTGTTGGACAGTACCCTTCTGTATTGTTGGACAGTAACCTTGTGTATTGTTGGACAGTAACGTTCTGTATTGTTGGACAGTACCCTTCTGTATTGTTGGACAGTACCCTTCTGTATTGTTGGACAGTACCCTTCTGTATTGTTGGACAGTACCCTTCTGTATTGTTGGACAGTAACCTTCTGTATTGTTGGACAGTACCCTTCTGTATTGTTGGATAGTAACCTTGTGTATTGTTGGACAGTACCCTTCTGTATTGTTGGACAGTACCCTTCTGTATTGTTGGACAGTACCCTTCTGTATTGTTGGACAGTACCCTTCTGTATTGTTGGACAGTACCCTTCTGTATTGTTGGACAGTACCCTTCTGTATTGTTGGACAGTACCCTTCTGTATTGTTGGACAGTACCCTTCTGTATTGTTGGACAGTACCCTTCTGTATTGTTGGACAGTACCCTTCTGTATTGTTGGACAGTACCCTTCTGTATTGTTGGACAGTAACCTTCTGTATTGTTGGACAGTACCCTTCTGTATTGTTGGACAGTACCCTTCTGTATTGTTGGACAGTACCCTTCTGTATTGTTGGACAGTAACCTTCTGTATTGTTGGACAGTACCCTTCTGTATTGTTGGATAGTAACCTTGTGTATTGTTGGACAGTACCCTTCTGTATTGTTGGATAGTAACCTTGTGTATTGTTGGACAGTACCCTTCTGTATTGTTGGACAGTAAGCTTCTGTATTGTTGGACAGTAACCTTGTGTATTGTTGGACAGTAAGCTTCTGTATTGTTGGACAGTAAGCTTCTGTATTGTTGGACAGTACCCTTGTGTATTGTTGGACAGTAACCTTGTGTATTGTTGGACAGTAACCTTGTGTATTGTTGTCATGATGTATAGGGCACTGAGTAGACCTTACACTACAACATTTCTTGTGTACCCCGGTGTTGTAAGGACTGACGAGTATATTGAGCAGTAAACAATGTACATATTGTGACGGTGTATTGCAGCTCGCCAGGCCCGCCAGTTCTACAAGGCTCTGCCAGCCACACTCTGTGATATCTGCGACCTGGACGAATGTGACCCCGGCCAGTGCGAACGGCAGATCATTGAACTTAATCGTCAACAACAGGTGAGACTATGCATATACTCCTCGAGCTGATGCTCTGTACACACACATACACAAAAATTGCATATCATACATTAAGCCAAATTTATGTATTGTATATTGAAGTTACAATTATTTAATGCTCAATACTGGTACAGTAGTTTATATAATTTTATCTTTTATACAAAATTAGCAAATCAGTGAATGTTTGTAACATTATCTTATATAGAAGACGAGACTGAAAATATAATTTGGAGGTAATATTTGGCCTGGTGAAGCCACGAGAAGTGCAACATTGTCTACACCGTCTACTGTTATATTCCCCGTTGTCAACACAGCTCTCAGACCTTACTGAGCTCCTACTGGTGTAGACGCAGCCCTCACTCATAAACCCACGATAACTGTAAAGTTGACTTAACCTTTCCAGGACCCTACCCAACCACATGGGCTGGACGGTAGAGCGACGGTCTCATTTCATGCAGATCGGCGTTCAATTCCCGATCGCCCAAGTGGTTGTGGGCACCATTACTGTCCCCCGTCCCATCCCAAATCTTTATCCCGACCCCTTCCCAGTGCTATATAGTCGTAATGGCTTGGTGCTTTCTGCTGATAATTGGGTTGCCATTGCAGGACCCTGAGGACGTTGCACGGCCAGCCACTGTGACGGAGGTGTCCAGTGGGATGACCATGTACCCCGCCATCCTCCTCACCCTGCTCGCTCTCCTCTCCACGGCTCTCCACCATGGCTACTAGCACCTCTCGTCTGCCTCCCTACACCCTCCTTAACCATGTGATCAAGAGAGTCATCACACTATGGCGTGTGAGCACTGTACATGATAGCTGGCGACCCACATACATAACTCTCAAATGGAAATATGAGTATTATTTCTTGGTTATGTCCGGGTTCACCGTGCCACTGAAGCTAAGTAAGTGGAGCCTAAAGTTGTGTCATCTCTCGGCTCAAGACATAATAACAAAAGTGTATACTGTAAATAACTTTAGTTTTGTATATACGCATTTCCTCCTCCTCTTAGGTTTATGGTGGTGGGTATGTGGGCCTGCGGGCCGCTCCAAGCAACAGCCTGGTGGACCAAACTCTCACAAGTCGAGCCTGGCCTCGGGCCGGGCTTGGGGAGTAGAACAACTCCCAGAACCCCATCAACCAGGTATCAACCAGGTATGGTAATGAAAGCTTTTGGGGATTTGATGTGAATACCTGAAGCCACACACAGTGGTCGATACCAAGTTGTATTTATCGGTGCTGATTACAGGTATTACTGCACACACAGGTGTAGGTGCTCTATGTATGGCTGTGTTGTCTTCTCGAGGGTGTCTTATTCCCTCTTGGACCCAGATTCTCAATGATACTTGCTTAATCAGTACAGTACCTCCAGTTGAAGATGGTAAAGCAATGTTAAAGTCAGTGAGCATTCTGACAGCATTCTGGCTACAGGAAAGAGAAACGCATTTTCCTTGGGAAACTGGGTCCTTCAACCCAAGTGACGACTTGTGTTGGCCAAAGGTATCTTTATACCTTTCATGGCCCCGAGTCATCTTAATCCTGTTATTGTCCTGAAAATAATGTTGTACACTTGAGGCAAAAGGACAATAATGTTACTTAAATAACTCGCAGATAATTATTGCATCCCATGACAACTCGGGCTAATGGGAATCTATGCAGCTCGGGCTGCTGGTAACTAATGCAGCCCCGAGCTACTGGGAACCAATGCAGCTCGGGCTGCTGGTAACTAATGCAGCCCCGAGCTACTGGGAACCAATACAGCTCGGGCTGCTAATAACTAATGCAGCCCCGAGCTACTGGGAACCAATGCAGCTCGGGCTGCTAATAACTAATGCAGCCCCGAGCTACTGGGAACCAATGCAGCTCGGGCTGCTGGTAACTAATGCAGCCCCGAGCTACTGGGAACCAATGCAGCTCGGGCTGCTAATAACTAATGCAGCCCCGAGCTACTGGGAACCAATGCAGCTCGGGCTGCTAATAACTAATGCAGCCCCGAGCTACTGGGAACCAATGCAGCTCGGGCTGCTGGTAACTAACGCAGCCCCGAGCTACTGGGAACCAACGCATTTCAGTCTATTAATAACTTGCAACTCAGGCTACTAGTAACCCCATTGCTGCTGTTAACCAGTAACTCCGTCCACCAGCTTTCGGCACTGTGACGCCGCCTCGCACCACGCACTCTTCTCGACCTCCTCTGCCACGCGGGGGTCTCTCATACTACAGCTTGTTTATAAACATTAGTGTTATGTGCATGTATGCTTCATTTAATAGTAAGAGTTTCAGGAATGCCAAATACAATGTTGGGTTGTAAATTACAATGAAAGCTTTCATTGGGATGATTCTTGATGAAACGTTGGCATTTATTTTCTTACTACAATAATAAGACGCTACCCAGTAAAATCCATTAGTTTAAAGATGAAATATAATGACTGGTATTAGTTGGGAGTTTCATCTCTGACCGATTTCAACCCAAATTAGTAGGTTTTGTGTCGTAACATTAACAGTATGATCGAGTGAACGGGAAATGTACAGAATAACGTCTGCTAAATCCATTACACATTTCTGATAATGTATAGAAGGTATCCAAGACCCATTCACTTTGTGTGTAAATTTTTTGTAATACTATTATCCTGAAATATACTAATGCAGTTGGTGACTATCTTTCTAATATATCCCGAGATGTTGCAAAGCTTAGTAAGCTGCACTCGCTGCTCCACACACGGAAACTCACCTAGTTGTGCTTTGAGGGAGGGGAGGGGGGAGGTCGAGCTTCGGCTCTTTGGTCCCGCCTCTCAACTGTCAGTCAACTGGTGTACATAATGTGTGGGTTACTTGCTCGGCTGGCAGCGAAACCTGAAGGTTGTTACTACATAATCACATACGAGATTATTTTAATTTTATAATAATACCCAGAGCTTTAATATGTTATAAATTTAAGCCTTTCTTGTGAATACATGTTTATATTATGTGCTAGATAATAACATTTGTTCTATATTGTACCTGTATAAATTGGATAAAATACGTAGGAAATGTTGGCTTGCAGCAATTAAGTTTATAAGAAGGTAACTAAGAGTGTGATGAGGTGTGGAGCCCTCACATCTGCACCCAAGGGTTGCAGTAGTGTGCCAGTGTGTTATGGAGCCCTCACTTCTGCACCCAAGGGTTGCAGTAGTGTGCCAGTGTGTTATGGAGCCCTCACATCTGCACCCAAGGGTTGCAGTAGTGTGCCAGTGTGTTATGGAGCCCTCACATCTGCACCCAAGGGTTGCAGTAGTGTGCCAGTGTGTTATGGAGCCCTCACATCTGCACCCAAGGGTTGCAGTAGTGTGCCAGTGTGTTAATAAACAATTGCTATACGAATGTTGTTTTATATTCCTGTTTGTGTGCATCTTTCTCTACAGTGTGTGTGCATCTGTCTCTCTTGCTTGTCTGTGTTTTACAGTCGTACTCGTCTGCATGAATGAATGTTTTATCCTCATATGTGTCTGTTAATCTGCCGCTAGCAGAGCACCACGGTGTATTCCGGGCTACTTACCTTGAACTGAACCAGTCTCTGTGGTGTAGTGGTAAGACACTCGCCTGGCGTTCCGCGAGCGCTTTTTCCTGGATGCGTATCCTGGCCGGGGAGGATTTACTGGGCGCAATTCCTTAACTGTAGCCTCTGTTTAACGCAACAGTAAAATGTGTACTTGGTTGTAAAAACGATTCTTCGCGGCGGGGATCGTATTCCAGGGACCTGCCCGAAACGCTACGCGTACTAGTGGCTGTACAAGAATGTAACAACTCTGTATACATCTCAAAAAAAAAATTGCAGGATGCATTTCAGTGTCTGCAACTGGCTCAACACACCAGAGCGACCTTCACGCACACAATCCCTTGTATGTCGAAATTGCCAAGCTTTAAATTCGGCTAGTAAATAATGTCACTGAAATCAAATTACAGCACAATTCAATAACACTGGTATCAGCCCCTCACACAATTTATAGATAGTATTAAGACACTCTGCACTTAACCTATTTTTTTTAGGAGTTATTCTGCTTATAACCACCCAACCTTAAGTAACTAAATAAAGATATTTTTATAAGTTATAAGTGATGCCATCCTCGCCAGCAGCTTTTTGCCCATCTTTATTGCATTATTTAATCCCCATTCAGTTAAAGGATTGAGATCTGATACGTCAATAAGTGAAGATGCAACACTGTTGATTCGTTCTGTTGCAGCTGGTGTCATTGAAATTGAAATTGAAATTGAAATAAGTTTATTGAGGTAAAATACACACAAAGGGATGAGGTAGCTCAAGCTATTCTCACCCCGTTCAGTACAACGTGTTAATACATACATAGACACACATCACAAACAATAAACCTGTTACCAAACATTCTGAGAGATAAACATGTACATTTCCTCCTTCACAAGTGGTATGGTATCAGACGTACACAAATACTTTTATGACCTAGTTATACGGATAATTCAACAATTGTTCTGTGACGGAGGCGGCGGCTACACTCTGGTTTGTACACCCCTATGGTTACATGGTACAGGTGTAGTGACCATGGCACAGGTGTGGTGACCATGGCACAGGTGTGGTGACCATGGCACAGGTGTGGTGACCATGGTACAGGTGTGGTGACCATGGCACAGGTGTGGTGACCATGGCACAGGTGTGGTGACCATGGCACAGGTGTGGTGACCATGGTACAGGTGTGGTGACCATGGCACAGGTGTGGTGACCATGGCACAGGTGTGGTGACCATGGCACAGGTGTGGTGACCATGGTACAGGTGTGGTGACCATGGCACAGGTGTGGTGACCATGGCACAGGTGTGGTGACCATGGCACAGGTGTGGTGACCATGGTACAGGTGTGGTGACCATGGCACAGATGAGGTGACCATGGCACAGGTGTGGTGACCATGGCACAGGTGTGGTGACCATGGCACAGGTGTGGTGACCATGGCACAGGTGTGGTGACCATGGCCCAGGTGTGGTGACCATGGCACAGGTGTGGTGACCATGGCACAGGTGTGGTGACCATGGCACAGGTGTGGTGACCATGGCACAGGTGTGGTGACCATGGCACAGGTGTGGTGACCATGGCACAGGTGTGGTGACCATGGCACAGGTGTGGTGACCATGGCACAGGTGTGGTGACCATGGCACAAGTGTGGTGACCATGGCACAGGTGTGGTGACCATGGCACAGGTGTGGTGACCATGGCACAGGTGTGGTGACCATGGCACAGGTGTGGTGACCATGGCACAGGTGTGGTGACCATGGCACAGGTGTGGTGACCATGGCACAGGTGTGGTGACCATGGCACAGGTGTGGTGACCATGGCACAGGTGTGGTGACCATGGCACAGGTGTGGTGACCATGGCACAGGTGTGGTGACCATGGCACAGGTGTGGTGACCATGGCACAGGTGTGGTGACCATGGCACCATGGCACAGGTGTGGTGACCATGGCACAGGTGTGGTGACCATGGCACAGGTGTGGTGACCATGGCACAGGTGTAGTGACCATGGCACAGGTGTGGTGACCATGGCACAGGTGTGGTGACCATGGCACAGGTGTAGTGACCATGGCACAGGTGTGGTGACCATGGTACAGGTGTAGTGACCATGGCACAGGTGTGGTGACCATGGCACAGGTGTAGTGACCATGGTACAGGTGTAGTGACCATGGCACAGGTGTGGTGACCATGGCACAGGTGTGGTGACCATGGCACAGGTGTAGTGACCATGGCACAGGTGTGGTGACCATGGCACAGGTGTGGTGACCATGGTACAGGTGTAGTGACCATGTGGTGACAGGTGTGGTGACCATGGTACAGGTGTAGTGACCATGGCACAGGTGTGGTGACCATGGCACAGGTGTAGTGACCATGGTACAGGTGTACCATGGTACAGGTGTAGTGACCATGGCACAGGTGTGGTGACCATGGCACAGGTGTGGTGACCATGGCACAGGTGTAGTGACCATGGCACAGGTGTGGTGACCATGGCACAGGTGTGGTGACCATGGCACAGGTGTGGTGACCATGGCACAGGTGTAGTGACCATGGCACAGGTGTGGTGACCATGGCACAGGTGTAGTGACCATGGCACAGGTGTGGTGACCATGGCACAGGTGTGGTGACCATGGCACAGGTGTGGTGACCATGGTGTAGTGACCATGGCACAGGTGTGGTGACCATGGCACAGGTGTGGTGACCATGGCACAGGTGTAGTGACCATGGCACAGGTGTGGTGACCATGGTACAGGTGTAGTGACCATGGCACAGGTGTGGTGACCATGACACAGGTGTATTGACCATAACACAGGTATAGCAACCATGCCACAGGTGTAGCAACCATGACACAGGTGTAGCAACCATGACACAGGTGTAGCAACCATGACACAGGTGTAGCAACCATAACACAGGTGTAGCAACCATGACACAGGTGTAGCAACCATAACACAGGTGTAGCGACCATGACACAGATACCTCAGTCCACCGAGGTGCTGGACCTCCGCCCCTCTGAGACATCTCTCACAGCAAGATCATCTTACCATCTAGTTCCTCTAGTCCTCTCAGCTACGATGACCAGCCAATTAAACAATATAAGCCAATTTAGTGGCCGTAGCTCTCGACGGGACGCCAGTAGCACATATGGAGGAAGGCGATGAGTCACAATAACGTGGCTGAAGTATGTTGACCAGACCACACACTAGAAATTGAAGGGACGACGACGTTTCGGTCCGTCCTGGACCATTCTCAAGTCGATTGTGTAATGTATGCATTCACAATCGACTTGAGAATGGTCCAGGACGGACCGAAACGTCGTCGTCCCTTCAATTTCTAGTGTGTGGTCTGGTCAACACATATGGATGAAGGTCGTGTACCCGGTGCCAAAGGGGGGTTCAAAATGATCATTCACCAAAAAAGAGCAGTTATCAACAAGTTGGTTTAATTGAAGGGGGATATGATGAAGGATGGACCCTGTTTCTCGCTGTGTGTATATACACTCGCTTCACTTTAGTCCAGGACTATATTATGGACTAATGTATGCTTGTTGGTTGGTCAGTAGGCTATGGTGTTGGCCTGAGTAATGCTCCTAATGTTGGCCTGAATAATGCTCCTAATGTTAGCCTGAATAATGCTCCTAATGTTGGCCTGAATAATGCTCCTAATGTTGGCCTGAATAATGCTCCTAATGTTGGCCTGAATAATCCTACTAATGTTGGCCTGAATAATCCTACTAATGTTGGCCTGAATAATGCTCCTAATGTTGGCCTGAATAATCCTACTAATGTTGGCCTGAATAATGCTCCTAATGTTGGCCTGAATAATGCTCCTAATGTTGGCCTGAATAATGCTCCTAATGTTGGCCTGAATAATGCTCCTAATGTTGGCCTGAATAATCCTACTAATGTTGGCCTGAATAATGCTCCTAATGTTGATAGGCCTTATGCCCAACATCAAATCAAGTTTAAATTTATTTTATTTTTGACATCTGTTTAGCTTTGTTGTGGTCGACAAAAAGTTTAATCTAGAGAGAAAACTGTGTTTGATTAGTGGACTATATTTGTAATGGTTGTGTTGGCTACTGCTGCTCCTGCTTCTAATGCTGCTGGTGTCTACTCTATTTCCTTTCGTCTTGTCCTCTCCAATACTTTGGTGAAACTTGCCGTACATTAAATGACAGACTTCTGGAACACAAAAGAAGTGTTAAGTCTGCAGACACAGACAATGCTCTCTTCTGTCATGTTAGGGATTCTGGTCATCCTATTGATTGATCTTCTAAAACAATCTTTCCTGTCTCTACTCTTCACAGACGCCGTCTTGTGGAATCGGCTCTGATACACAAGCTACCCAACATGAACCTGAGTCCTGGCTTTGTTGCTGTTGACTCTTCCCTTTCACAGTACATACTCAAATTCTTCAACCTAACAAACGTGACCTAACATAAGCCTTTTTCTTTCTCCTCTTATTCTTACGTTCCCATTATTATACCAATTATTACCCCCCCTTATTATCCCCACTTTATTACAACCCACCCCATCCGTACCTTCCGCCTTGCTCTTGCCTTCCTCTAGGAATTTCTTCCTCCTCACCTTTCTCCACATCTCTCTTACCTACTTATTGCCCATACCTCCCTCGCTCACCCACACACAAATCCAACATATAGGAAAAGAAGCCCATAATCTAGGGCTGTCAATCACATAAATTGGATACCAAGTCACATTGGCATAGATGGTAATGAAAAGGCAGACTCACTAGCAAAAACTGTCACTGCTCTACCTGTTGTACAGGTTCAAATATCTCCAAGTTTTTCCACAGATTAAGGAGCAAATCAAGAAGAAAATATTCCCAACTAT